AGATGTTAACCACCTCGCCTGGTGTACAGGAGGTCGTGGGTTCGACCCCTACGCCTGCTGTATATTTGGAGTTTGCGTCTCTCTCTCTCTCATCATCATCATTATCATCACTCTGGCTAGGATATGTTAACTACGTCGTCTGGTGTACAGGAGGTCGTGGGTTCGACCCCGACGCCTGCTGTATATTTGGAATTTGCGTGTCTTTCTCGCTCTCTCTCCGTGGCCGTGTGGATTTTTCTCCGGGGTCCTCGAGTTCTTCCCTCCGCATTTTAATTTGTCCGTTTTTTGTATTTCGCACGACAAGTCGCTTCTTTGAGATATAATTTGTGATCGCCAGGTACGCCCTTGAAAATAACCAGCTACATCGTATCAGTGGGCCTTTACCCGGTAAAATAAAAAAATAGTTGAGTGTTATAGTTTGTAGTTTAAGAAGTTAGCGTCAACCTGGGAGAGACCGAGGCGCGCCGATTGGGTCTCCAGGGCTCCGTCCTGGAGGCGGTCGGCGCTCCCCCGTTGGACCGCTGAGTAGAACGCCGACCGCCCGCTCGACCCAATCGTGGGAGGCCTTAGCAAACAGAAATGTCAAGGCTTCCAAATATTTTTTTTTACCTTTTCCCCAATTTAATTTTCTAATGTGCTTATGTATCCAGGAGAGCCACACCGAGTCGTACAACTCCTTTTGAGGAGGGGCTCCTGCGTTGTTTTTGTTTTTTTATTGGACGTGTTCAGCCAATTTACGAGGAGCCTTGCTGCGAGCGGACGGGCACCGGAGCGCGCGGAGAAAACCCAACCGCCCGAGCGGGCAACGCTCAATCCACCGTACAGATGGAAACAGATTGCGATTAGTCCGCTTGCTGTGCCGCCTTCTCCTGGCGAGCCAGGGCACGGCACCTCGACGCCCACGGGAAGGGAGTTTCACGACATGCGTGTGCGATCTACCAACCCTCGCTGCTGCCTCCACAGCGCTGCATTACAGGGTTTGCGTGGCCACCACCGCCCCACATGGCACAGCATGCTGCACTGTGCACGTATCGTGACAGGATGCCGCTGTATTATTTATATTACATATAGTTCTACATGATATTATTGTCATCAAGTGATTGGGGCCATAAGTCAGGGCTCGTACGTCGAGGTATAGTGGGGGATTGGGCTTTTATGGAGATTATTTGTGGTGACGAAGGCTAAAAGTGTCAGGTTCAGCTTCACCACTTCAGTCGGTACCGACGCCTGCCCTGGCCCATGAAACTGACGGAGGCAAATCCAAATAACCTGCTGCAGTAGCAGCATCATCATCATCAACATTCACCTGGGTTGTTTCAAACTAGAGACCGCTATTCCAGGCTAAATGCCATATCTAAGGACCTTGCGCTGCGTCGATCGATGAAGCCTTCTGCACGCGAGCCGATTTCATCGCTCCGTCTGAACTGCGAGTCGCAATGAGGCGCCGAGTTCAAATCCACGTCTTACGCATCGTCAGACGTGGAATTGTATAAAGCGAGTGCCGCTTTGTGAGATGCCAACGGTGTGTGTAGTGTGGCCAGAGACCGGCCGCATGTCAGAGGAATGCGAGGATTTCCCGCGCTTGGGCTCAGGGCCGGCAATAAAAGGCAACGGCCGCCCCGCCGCAGTCAATTGAAAAGCGAGACGTTTCGCGTCGCCTCTCTTGTTCCGCGCGAACGTTTCTCCCCCTCTCGCTGGAGCCGTAGCGAGTGAACGCAAGCGCGCGCTGCTCACCCGGAGATTAAATTAGGACGGGACAAAGGTTATGGGCGACGTCCCTCTCCAGGTTGTGCCATGCACCTCGCGTGTGCCGGTGATCCCCCTACACGGCGGCGCACGCACTGCGGCGGCCGCAGTAAAATTCCCGATAGAATCTCTTTCACAGCTGTCCGGTTTGATATACATATATATTTATATATTTTTACTACGGCCGTTTGCGTCGTGACCCGGAGGGTACGCGGGCACCGGAGCGACCGCCCTCGGCCACAACAGCGGCACGGCCCGACGCGGCCTCCTGTTCCCATGGCTCAACGGGAGGGAGGGGGGCGGGGGGCGGGGGGCGCCCGCCTCCTTTAGGAACGCCTCGCCGAGACTGCGCCGGGAGCTCGATTGGGAGCACAAGGTCGCGGACGAAGTCGCGCACACCCACCCAGCCATCCATCACCCACACCGCCCCCGTGACCGCACGAGCAGCAGGGACGGACCGCTCCAACGTCGCGGAAACTTCAAACGGCGACGTCGTCGCGATGTCACGCGATGCAGCCCCAAGCCCCGACCCTCCGAAGAAGACGATCTTCAGATTAGGGTCGCGGTGTGCCCGCTGGGGCTCGCCTGGAGGAATAAGAAGTCACAGTACATGGGCGCATTCAGACCTTTTGATACCTTCGGCCGGTCCACTGCTGGATGAGAGCGCCCACATGCCGTGCGAGTCGGCGGGGTCTCTCTGCCCAGACGTGACCGTGCTGCTGGTGAGGGCAGGTTGGCGAAGGCGGGGAGGGGAGACACGGAAGCGTAGAAGTACGGTACGATAGATCTTAACGCGCTACCCTCTTCTGCCCACGTAGCACCGCATCAGCCTCTGATGTTTGATCACTGTTGGTCACCCATCCAACCGCTAGCTTCTGACATGTGATGAGATCGGGGATCGTCTGCATGATCTGGTGATAGGATTAGAAGTCGTCGTGGTAGTAGGGGGTGACACTCAGCACTCACAGATTCCCACAACACCTGGCAAGCCCTGGTGGTCACTCATCCTCATTCTATAAGGTTCATTTCTACTCGGCTTCTGAGATCCGGTGGCATTGGTGCATCTCCGGCGATTTTGGTCATGGATAAGTACAGCATGAGTGGGATAATGCACCGGGGAGCACAAATCAACAGCTTAAAGATAATAAACGCGAAAGTTCAAACCGATGATTACTTCCGGTGGAGTGGTCCAGACAAGGATTTTGCGCCGGTTCCACATGCCGCTGAAATTAACGAGGTCACGGTGACTGGTGAGTGTCGGTGCTAACCGCAGTCTAGATTACTTGGCGGGCACGCACACCACACACACGCCACATACACACGTACACCACATACACACGTACACCACACACACACCACATACACGCCACATACACACGCACACCACACACACGCCACATACACACGCACGCCACACACGCGCGTGTGCGGTGTCACATTGCCGGTTTTATTGGAATTGTCCTTGTCTTTACAACTCTGGTTTCACTCGATAAGCACGGAGATTCAATATCAAAGGCCTCTCATGGGTTTTCACAAAAAAAATTCTACACATAGGAAAGACTATAAAACGCATTTACATTTCAATTAATATTGTGACGTTATTGTTTGGCTGTACAATACACGTACGCTAACAGCCAGAGATACTGGCTAAGCCAGAGATACTGGCCTAAACTTGCCGATGAAACTTGGCAAAATCGAAACCATTGTAAAGTTACTTTACTTTGATTGTGAGACTTCGCTCAAATCGCCTGAGCGTGAATCGTTGCATGCCCGTGTTTAGATTTTGCGCTATCCACACGGCTAATTGAGCTTAAGTTGCCTTGCTGGACATTGCCAATGATGGCTTTAGGGCCTGTATAGTTTTTCTCACGTGCACACCCACCATAAGATGGCATGGGGCGGCCTTCATCCAGCAAAGGATGGATAAATAGCTCGTGATGATGAGGATGACGCCACGATTCGAGGGGATGAGGTGGGACACGGCTAGAATTGAATTTGTAATCGTCAGCAAGCAGCGCAGCAGCCTTGCACAACAGGGTTTTAATCTTCGCGAGCAAAATCAACCAAATGACATTCACATTAAATTAGGCCAAACATAAATAAAACGTCAAAATCTACACCAACGCACAGAAGGAATGTTCGCACATTCACAGCTTCCACGTAAGAACAGCAACGTTGCGGCGCAGGATCTTGTTTACATTTTGATAGCACCGTTAATGCGTTTGGGGCAATACCAAACATCTGCTGCACAAGTATGTAATGTGAGAGGTGTATAGAGGAGGGGGAGGTGGGGAGGGGGACGACTTCAAGCTGGGAGAGCTCTCATCCAATTCAACAACAGTCCACGGCACCTTGAAGGCTATTTGGAATGTTTTCGTGCAACGCGACACCACTGCAAAGTGCACACGTCCACACGCTTGGCTCTGCACGCCCCGAGAGTTAACTCTCGGAGGCCTCCGAGAGTTAACTCTCGGAGGCCTCCGTAGGCACATTAGCGGGGTTGGGGGATTAGCCGCGATTGCCAAAAAAAGACGTATATATACACAACAACAACAACAACCGCCATTCGCCACTAAGTGGCGGTGACGTCACCACGACGCTTGTGCCAGGCTATGTGCACCCTGAGGCCACGTGAAGTGTCGAACGCCCGCTGGCAGGAGGTCACGGGGCAGACCCAGGTGCCACGGGTCGACTGACTGAGATGACTGGCTGATGCACCACCTGTGCCCCCTACTGTGCCAACCTGCTGTGCTTTAGCCACCCGGCGCTCCGCTCGCTGTTGTGAGCGTCGCTCCTCCGCCCTCCGTTGTTGTTGGAGGGCGACTGCCTCCAACTGCCCAGCAGCATCCCCCACGAGCCTCCTCCACAGAGGCCGATCCCGACACCGCTGGCACCAGCCATCGGCAAGTCCACCCAGCTCCACGTCCTCCTGCACCACACCACTCCACCTCCCCCCCAGCCCGCGCCGCGCCCGCCCAGCCCCCCCAACCCGGCCAAACAAAAGCTGCCTCGGCATGCGGTGGCCGGGCATGCGGGCCACATGATATATACACACCCACACACGTGCGAAGTTTTACGCGATTGTGATTCAAACCAGTGGGCCGCATGGCCACGAGTGCATCGGCAAGTGAGGCGAGCGCGTTTGAGAAGCGCCGCAAACGAGCGGCGGGATTTCAACGTCTCCGACACTCCTCTTCGCGCAAGCCGACGCTCCGAACGTTTCTACGGCCAAATTTACGCGTGTATGTGTTTTGCATTGCCCGCGTTGTTTTGCTTTATCTGGGCTAACCAGAGGCGGAGTTTGACTTCTATATTTGGAGGGGGGGGGGGCAGGCGTTTGCTTTGTCCCTCACATGTATGTGTTGGAGTGATTTGTTTACCGTACTTGTACTTTGGACTACTATCATGTTTTCGTACCATTTGTTGTTGGAACTTTCTTACCCTCGCATACTGAACGTCTGAAAAATAGCTTTATAGCTCATCGGATTCCTCCAGTATAAATATTCTGATTCTGACATTAGGAATCGCGGGAGCATATAATTGTGTTTTAATTGTAAGCTACTGAAAATAAATGAATAAAGGTGCCCAGTTTTGGCTGGGCATCGCCCCCTCCGTGCCCCCCCCCCACAAACTCCGCCCATCAGGCCGACCCCTCCGCCCATTAACCCTGACATTTAAGTTGAGCGTAGTTTGAAAAAAATAAACACTTACATCCGTTCAAACGCATACGGACCGTGTTGAATAATTTAGCATACAGGTTATCCCTCGACTCATGCAAGGGATGCGTTCTTCAAAGAAACACGCGCAAAACAACATTACGTGAAATCAGAACGGCTTTTCACCATTAATAAAAAAAATTAGGGACGTGTGTTCCGACAGTCATTCCAACTGTACTTCTAGCCTTCAAAATATACACCTCTATCGCTTGTCACAATGCAAAAAATAATAACAACGAACATACATATTTAAACGATTCAATAATTACGAATAAAAAATATAACATTTTCACGTTGGAATCACTGGCAAGGCCATGATGTGGAGGCGTTGCTGTTGCACTGCAGGAACACCGTGACGCTGTGGCGGATGGATGACGCAGCCTCCCGCGTGCTTGTCGTTCAATCTCACGGCGCGTGCCGTTTGAAATTTCGTTCACGTGCGCAAATTCGATTTCGTTAAGCGAAAAGAGGCCCATAATTTGTCAATTAAGATCACGCGAAATCTCGTAAACCGAACGATTTGTAAATCACGGGGGGGGGGGATACCTGTACTCGTAATTTTTTACGTCAATCCCCTATTGACCCCTCCGGTTCACGGTCGCGCGGGCCCACGCCGCTAAGTCTGGGCCGCATCATCATCGGTGGCGGCGGCGGCGGCGGCGGCGCTGTCGTCACGCCGAGTTGCACACCTCCCACACGAAGATGGCACCGTGCGCCGCGGTGAAGAGGCGGCGGGCCGAGGGGGAGAAGCGGCACGCACGCACCGCATCCTCGTGGCCCCAGACACTCCGGAAGCGTCCGGACGCGGGATCCATGAGGCCAACGAGCCGCTCTGAATTAACCGAGCAAAAAAAAAACGAAAAACGTCAGCAGCTGTAATGGGGCAGTTCGCCACCAGCGGCGATCCAAAGCATTGTCACGATCCGTGGCCACTATTTGATTCAACTAATTTCTTCAGAACTGCTTTTCCTGTTTGGTTTGTTGTCCTTCCCCCGCACCTCCGATTACGAAACGGTTGGCTATGTACAATGCGAAAGAAGCTCAACATACAATGTCTCATTACTATTGTCTTATTTGTATTGTTTTGTCTGGTTCATAATCATAAATGTAACATTAGGATATGATTTGCTAATGTTAGATAATAGCTCGCACAAGAAGGATATCACACTTGTAAACGGCGTGCTGCACTTTCCTACCAGCCATACTGTGGAAATGATCTTCACTTTAGAAATGAAACTGAAAACTTTTTTTAAAGCTAGAATTTATTGCCAAAGTAATAGAGAAACCAAATGTATTACGAGTTTTGCGCTGTCACTTGTTATCGGGCTGAGACAGCAGAAATAATGGTCCAAAATAAGTGCTACCAGCACAAGCCTTTTCTTTAGAACAACCGTTATTTGTGATGTAAAGCATCTTTAAAATGCACATTGTGTCATTAGCTGTATTGCATTTCATCTCAACCATCTCCACCTTGCAAATATAAATATATTTAAAAAGGGAATAACTTTACTCTATAAGCTAAACTATGTTTTATTTTACACGGTGAGGCCCACTGAGCTAATTCTCTTTTACATAAGCGACCTGGCCACAAAGGATATCCCAACGAAGTGGCTTTTCACGTGGACATTTATAGCAGACAAATACTCCAAACGCGTGTTTCTAAATGTGGAGGGAAAAGCCGGAGGACCCGGACAAAAATCCACGCAACCGCGGTGAGAACATTCAAACTACAAATATACTGCAGGGGTTGAGATTGAACCCACGACCTCCCGTATACCAGGCGAGGTGGTTAACATCTCCTCGCCACCGTGGCGCCCTCACCATAGGTTCCCACTGCAATGAGGTCTCCGTTGCAGGACAGGTCCAGACTCAGGGCCCAGTTGTCGAGGGGCAGCTTACGCACAACCTGCGACAAGCAAAGAGATGGACTTGAACGTAGCTCTCACACGCAGCCTCCACCAGTCTCTCTCCCCTTCAATAAAAGTTTCAAGAGTTATTTGGTTTGAGCGGATTGTGAGAACTCAATGAGACCAGATTAGGAGTCTCCTTTGCAAGAGTGACCTGGGTGCTCACCGATATGACAAACGAATACAAAGAAAATTCAAGTGCAGCAATGGAAGTAAATAGAAAACAGGACAAAAACGAATTTTTTTTTGGGTCTGATCGCGTAAATATAAATGTGTTGTTAAACCCGCCAGCACCCAACACAGCCAATTAGTAAGGTTTGTCACGGAAACAAAACATGACAATTAGTTACTAGTTCAGCACACCGCTGCGTTGGAAAGTAAACCCACAACATTTACAATTCGAGTAAGACGTTTTCGCCGGTAATTACAACCATCATCATCAGGTGACAACCAGAGTGGTGGAGAAATCCCCCTCTCTTGTTTCGGTCTTAAATAGAGGGATAAATGTCACATGGCGAATTGAATATATCTCTCGATGTGCCATGTCTTTTCTCAAAGTATTTGGTGATCGTAGCCTTCCATTTAGCTCTATCCGTAATATTATTCAAGAACTTTGCATTTGATACTCCCAGTGGCATCCAACCAAATTGCTTCCGTCCTTAATTCGCTGCCAACCCCGGCTTCTTGTGCCTATAATTTTCCCAGCCAAAACACATTTACATCCAGTCAGAATCGAATATTTTGCAAGCATAATTCAACGTGAAATCAACGTTAACAGGATACGACACAGTGAACGACCGGGTTGCACATTGTTACATGTACAACACTACGCAGATCCACCCCAAGTGCAGCAGCTGAATCTGTTCTGTGAAAAAAAATATATACCGCCGATGAATTTCTCAACACTTGGCTTCCGGCTACAGCGTGTCAAGAAAATCCAGCGTTAAAGAGGTTTTATATCCCGCCGCGTGCACAAGACTGCGTGGTGAATGCGCAGCCGCTCGCAATCAACGCAGCGGGCTGCAATCGTGGACAAGCTTATGGGGGGGGGGGCTCCCACCGTGAGAACTGACGAGACTCTCAGCGCAAACCGTACAAGTACAGCCCTCTTTGTCAATCCACGCCTGGTTATACTTAACCGTACTTTCAGCACGCTGATCCACACCGTGGGTTTGTGAAGATTGGGAGGATGGTACAGAACGGCACTTAATGTTTACCGCGCTGCCCTATTGCTGATTGCGGAGACCCACGCTGAGCGACGCAATTATTATGCCATACAATGCAAAGCGTTGCACGGCTGTGACTTGCAATTATTCATCTTGTGATGAAGAAGCTTTTACGCCTATATTTATTTTGTATGTATTTATTTTACCACGTAAGGCCCACTGAGAGACCTGGTCACAAATGATAGCTCAACAAAGTGGCTTATATCATCACGTGAACATTTATAGCAGCCATGTACTAAATGTGGAGGGAAAACCCAGAGAACCCGGAGAAAAATCCCAATTACCACAGGGAGAACGTGCAAACTCCAAATATAAAGCAGGAGTCAGGGTCGTGATCGAAAACGTTAACCTCTTGTACACCAGGCGTGATAGTTAACATCTCACCACAGCCCAAGACCCACGACCTAGGGTGGTGACACGTCCCAGTGGTGGCACATTCACCGCTTGTTGCAAAGGTTCATGGTTTGAATCTGGCCGGCCCGCCCTGGATATTACTATGGGTGTATCAACCATGACATACATGCCGTGTGCTTCAGAGTGGACGTTAAAGACCACCTGATTTCATTCATAATAAGTAGGCCACTGTGTGCCAGCATATTTGGTTTCAAATTCGAAAAATTCATCCCGAATCTCTCAAGTAGGATTATGCAGCGCAACATCGCCACCCCACTGTGAACTACTGAAGACTGTGTCTGTGAAACGCAATGCCGTACCTTCGTGATGATAGCCCTGTGCTCTAAACGTGGCTCCAATACCAAATGTACTCTCGTATAACTTTTTTTATGAACCTAAGCCTGCGGTAACAACACTCCCCGCTTTTTGTTCGTGGGTTGCACCTTCCCAGAAGAGCGGGGGCCTCTCACCTGCTTGAGTCTCAGGCTGTAGAAGACGATCTCCCGCTGCAAACCGTAGCCCGCGTACACCACCGTGTCCACGTCGCCCGGGCAGAACACGGCCAGGCTCGGGGGTGTGGAGCGGCCAGACTAGAAACCATGGGCGCACGGTGGCAGCAGCAGTGACGACACGATGGATGCGTGCGTGCGCGCGCACACACACGCACAAGCACTCGCAAAAGGCGTTCCAGCACGCACAACCCCGGCCGTTCACTGCCGCCGCTGATGCTGCTGCTTTTGATGACGATGGTAATGTCGCAGATGAGGTGGGGGGGGGGGGGGGGTAGCAGCGCTGACGTGTTGTACCTGTGTGTCATCGAGGCCGGCAGACAGGGCCGGGAACGTGAGCCAGTCCACCAGGTCGCAGCGATCGCGCAGCCAATCGCAGCTCCAGATGCTGACGCGGCTGTCCCGGCTCGCGGCCAACCACATCTCCCCGCCGTGCTGGGATGTGGGCGCGCCACCACGTTCCAATGGAGCATTGCGAGGGGGGTAGAAGAAGCGAAACTAGAATTATTCAACCGAGGGTTCCCCCCCGCAGCCGGTCTCTGGAACTTCCTCCCCCCAGCCGTTCATGCAGTCGACTCCCTGCTCCTGTTCAAGAGCTGCCTATGACCAACCTCTCTATGTATGTATGTAGAACTTCTTTCACACCGTGCATAGCCAACCGTGCTAACCGGAGGTGCGGGGGAAGGACAACAAACACAAAAAGCAGTTTTAAAGACATGAGCTTGCAATTTAGATTTTAAAGCGCATAGCTCCAGTGGCTTCCTAATATCGGAAGGAAGAGCGTTCCAGACGACCGCTGAAGCGCATCTGAAAGCACGCAATTGCCAAAAACCCAGCACAAAAATAACATCAATAACACTGTAGCGTTAAAAGGCCCTTCTTCACAGCACATAGAGATGCCAGAGAGGTGGGACTGTACGCGTGAAAAACCATCAACGGTTGAAGGACATGGTGATTCACTTCACCAGGCTGTGCAGGAGTAGACAGATCATGGACGCGGTGGTGATGACGGTGATTCACTTTACCGGCCTGCGCAACAGTGGACATAGACCGTGGCTGTGATGATGATGATGATGATCGCGATACGCTTCACCCGTCTGCGCAGCAGTGGATAGATCATGCATGCGGCGACGGTGAGCCCCTTCACCTGGCTGTGCACGCAGTCGATGGCGGAGATGGGGGAGGGGCGGTGGTCAGTGACGACGCGTGCCGTCGCGCCCGTGTGGAGGCTGCTCACCACTACGAGCCCGTCCCGCGCACCCGACACGAGGAACTCGCCTGCTTGCCGACAGGAATCAACAGCGGATGGTGTGGAGTGGGGGGGGGGGGGCGAGGGTGGAGGAGGGGGGTGGAGAGGGGGGATTTTTTTGCGTGAATTAAAAAAGCCCCCCCCCCATTCGATTTCACCGCAATGCGACGGACATTAATAATAATAATCTATTTTATAAAGCACCTTCCCATATGGAAGTATCTCAAAGCACTGTACGTAAAAATAAAACTTGACTCGAAAATATAGATACAATTTAAGTGAAATAAAAAGCTGCAAATAGAAATTCCAATAAAATTAAGCACTATGTCCATAGCGAATAATAATAATAATTGCAGAGTAATCCAATCAGACAACATAATAATTTTAAAAAAATATTAAGTTACAGGGGAAGACTGCAAGTACAAATAGGTGAGTTTTAAGACGCGATTGAAAAAGTGACACAGACTCGGAATCCCGAACGGACCGAGGAAAGGGGATTACACATTACCCTCTGTAAGTTTGAACATTAGAATGTTGATGATCAACACACAGTAAGCTCTTTTTGCAAGAACACCGTTTTAAAGTCTGTTGCACCACTGGCTCAGACTCAGGGGATGGATCCTGAACATCTGCCGGTAACTGGGTCCAGCAATTCGGGCCGGAGACCCTGACAGCGCTGGCCGTGTAGCACAATGTTTGGGCTCGAGTGTAGCAGCAGGCTCACTGTGGGCTCCACATCACGCAGTTGGCGTCGATTGGAGTCCGTTAATGCTGAAAAAAGAGCGCCACCTACTGCGCGGACTCGCAGTGACTTGAAGACATCTCACGTGTAATTTTTAAATTCGGAGCCACGTGATCACCTCTCAACCCGGGATTTCAGAGCCACCAGTTAAGTGGTATGACCTGGGTGTTATCCTCCTGTACCACACTTCACAGCTTGCAATCTTGGTTCATACAGGTACACAGTTGTACAAGACTTTGTATATAGGAAGAATAAAGTGTTATAGTTGCTTTGGTAACTGTGTTTCTAAGCTCACGTGTGCCGCTACCTACGTGCGGTGCTCTGTTAAATTGAGCTTCTTCATTCCATCCGACCTTCGGCAATGTTGTAAAATAATTAAATAACGTTGACTTGTAACGCGGCGTGCAGAGCGTCCGCTCGCTCTCGAAGAGACACAAGGAACCGCGGACAAGCGGAAAAGGCAGCCACGTGGTGAGCTTGAACTAAATTTCCTCCCAAGCTCTGCAGTCCTTTATATATATGGTGTTATCGGCCAATTAAGGAGCGCTTACATACGGGAGGAAACTGTAGCAAGGGGGCAACTCTCGATTCCATACAGATGGAACAGGCGGAATCAACATTTTCTGTACTGCCTTCTCCTGGCGAGCCAGGGAAAGGTACCTTCTCTACAGGGAAGGGAGTTTCACAACGTCGGGGTGATCCACCAACCCACGCTGCTTCCACAGTGCTGTATTACGGGCGTGCGGAGCCACCACAGCCCATGATCAATGCTTGCGTGAGCGAAGCTTTGATTTCTATCTATCTCATTGTCATTTTATTTTAAGTTAAATTTTTCCATATTGGTGACCCAGGTCACTCTTGCAAGGACACTCAACCTGGTCTCTTAAGTTTTCACCTGGTTACGCAAATTAATTTGAAGCTTGAACCTGATCTCAAGTCACACATGACAACAATGATGACGATGATGACAACAATAGGGTTGTCTCAGCAAACGCCATGGCCATATTTTCTTCGTTTAGTTTGTTGCCCTTCCCCCACACCTCCGATTAGCACGGTTGGCTACGTACAGTGCGAAAGAAGTTCAACATACATACATACATCTACTGGACATCTGTTAAAAAGAGCATTATAGCTCATCAGATTCCTCCACTATAAATGCATATTCTGATTCTGATACATACGGTGCCACCATCGGCGGCAGCTCTCACCGTCGGTGGAGAAGGCGAGGGCGGTGACGGCGCTGCCGTGCGACCGCATCTTGAGCACCATCTCCACCGAGCGCAGGCTGAAGAGCCGCACCGCGCCGTCGCCGTAGCCCGCCGCCACGAGCCGGGAGAACCGGCTGCGCCGGGCCGGTACACGGCTCCATGCCACACACTCGCATGTCTGCGCAACAAGGGGTCGCCGTGCCGTGTGCGTGCGCGTGGTACGCTAGTCACACCGCTGCTAGACAAGGGCCTCCCCATGCCACGCGCGAGACTTGGGGATTATTTTGCGAAGGACGCCGGAGAGTGAAGGCTGGGAGCATCGACATTACAGAGTAAATGTTTAGCTCTGATACACCAAATCAAGCTGTGCACCACTTAAAAATGTAAACTGAAGCATTATGGGTGTAACAATGCGTTGATTCACTTGTGTAACATCAGTTTAGCCCGCCCGATCTACGAGCAGCGCCTCTAACCCCCGCTACACCCAGAGTGGCCCGCAGATGGCGATGGCGCCCCACCGGTGCACGAATGAATGGAGTTGGTGCCCCAAAGGGCCCCTTGCACGAGCTTCGCACCAGCAGCGCCGAACCTGCGTCTGCATCTACGAGCCCAGAGGGACCCCGTGGTCGCGTCGCGTTACCGGGGCACGAGGATTTCTCACGGTGAGTACGGTAACCTTTTCCCGTCCCGATGCCGTACGTGTAGGTCATCACAGTTTTCTTTCCAATTCCGAATCGATTCCAAACGGAATCAGAGGTAGAAGGCCGTGCTGGAGGGCGTGTGGCACAGTTTGGCGTCAGCTATCATAGAGTGCGGTTGCATCGCCACAGTTATCTGTGGTGAGGACAGTACAATGTCTTTAAAAACAGCGGTGCTATGCCTCTTTAATAATTAACACGAACCTTTTGCGCGTTACGAGATTCACCGACGAACGGGACCCACCCGGCCACTTGCAGTCATCTCAGAACGGTAAAGGGTTAACCTCTCCCGCTTCCAATGTGTCTGCGCCAGCCGGAGCTTGTGGCTTAATCACTGGAGGCACCTGCAGACATCTGTGAGGGTGCCCAATCGCTACCTTACAGCGGTGGATGCTCGCTGGCCTGTCCAGGCAAGGTCCGAGTTGTAGGACTGTGCCACCAGCCTCTCAGGGGACCCAAGCAACAGTCAATCCATTCCACATGGCAGACTGATCTATTTTATGTAAATACAAGGAGGGCAAAAAGGGGCAGCAATGCCCTTTCTCTGCACGGCGGTTTGCACAGGAAAGAGTAGCGAGTGTGGAGATGTCCCATCCCGAACGGACGTAGGGCTGGCGTTCAAGCACAGCACCTTCAATTGTGACTTTTATCCCTCTCAGAGATCGGTCGGTTTTACCGGTGTTTTATAGAGTGGCCTGGTTTGATGCTAGAATAGTGTTCCAGACGGTATGAGAACTGTTGATGACATTTATTGTAAAGTGAAATGGCTTCTTCAGTATCGTAGTCGTGGTGTTACATTAACACATTGACATGCTAATCTCTAATCTCGAGCAACACAATGGCTTCTTCAGCACCGTAACCTTGGGGTTACATTAACACATTGACATGCTCATCTCTAGCAACACAACAGCCGAGGTATACCTAGCTCTGCGATCTTACATTTACTTGCAAATTCCATCTCTAGCCCCGCCCACTTACCCTTTGGTTGTACCCATCTCAAACCAATATAACCTTTGGCTGCAGTAGCTCTCTCGCTAGATTTCTTCCTGCCTCAGCAGTCCGCCTGCTGTATTTTTTCACCTGAAGACGATTGCTTGTGTTGCGATCGAAACGTCGTGATTTTTTTTTCTATCTACGCAACTTTACCGAAAGACCCAAAGAGTATGAAATCTTTTTCCCATTTTTCTACATTGCATGTTTGTTCTTTTTTTTAAATTGCGCGTTCTTAAATGTCATTGTTGTCATAGTGATAAGGGAAGAAATATCGACATCTGTGTGCTACGGTTGCCCGAGTGAAAAGTGGGCTACGTCCTTCACAAAATCCTGGAGCAGCTGGCTTTTCTGTGGTTATACCTGACGAAGACGGCTGGGCTAGTTACCTGTGGATGGAACGGGGGGCCACGCAGAAAGAACTCGCACGCGGGATTTGAAAATGCATCGACGCACCTGCTGGAGAACTTGGAACTGCACGGAGAGCTCGAGTGAGCGGGCGTCCCACACGCGCAGGCTCCCATCTGCCGCGCTGCTCGCAAACAGCGCCTCGTCCGGGCTGAACGCCAGCCCCGTGACCTACGGGAAGGAGGTCACGCGACAGAGCCGTTGCCCATCAGAGCCGTTGATACGTGATCAGTGTCGTCGTCATCATCACCGCCCGCAAATATGTGTGGAGGTAGTGTGCATAAGGCTATACTGGGGATCTTTGTCTTTGTACATAGCGGGGAGCGGTAGTATAGCAGTTATCGCACTGCCCTCCGAACCTGGCCACCTGCGTTTGATTCCCGCTGACGGCCAACACCAGTGACGATTATCTGAACCGGTCCTGGACCTCCCCTAGGTGCACTCAGCCTTTATTAAGTACTAAGTCCGATGTGTAAAAACGTTGCCACTAGGGAGACAAAGATGGTTGGGCGAAGTGCTGGCCACAAACCCCCTCGTGTGCTGTTCTGGCCTTCATAGGTGCTAACAGCACTTGCCCCAACAGTCTGTTCAGGCTATATGGGGGATCTTTGTCTTTGTACATAGGTAACCTCACATTATGGGGGTGGGATTGGTGTCACGTGCCCAGTTGGAGTGATAAATCCATCTTTAACCCTTGCTAGAGTCTGAATCCCACACTAGTAGTCTGAATGGAACTGAAAATCCCAATATCAGTCATCGTTATGAGCTAGCCAAAAAAAAATTATAAATGTGACAGCACTACAGTTGGCATGGGACGGCTGCTGTGTGGACTTTGGTAGCGGTGGGGCTGTAGTGGCTGGGTACTGTGGTTGGAAGGGTGCTCTAGCGGCAGAGTGCTGTGGTAGTAGTGGTACTGTAGCGGCAGGGTGCTGTGGTAGCGGCAGGATGCGGGGCGCGTGGGCTCACCTGCTCGGCGTGACCACTCACGAGCCGCATGCTGCTGCACTCGGCCCAGCCGATGAACCACACGGTGCCGACGGCCGTGCCGACCACCCCCATGTCGAGGTCGTCGTCAAAGGCGGCGCTCACCGCCGACGCATCCAGCCGCAACTCGGCCTCCAGTACCACGCAATCCGCACTGGTGCAGAGGAGAGGTGTAGGGGAGAGGCGCAGGGAGAGGTGCAAGAGGAGATGTGTGGTGGACGCACGATGGTGGCCAGGAGATGTTAACTACCTCGCCTGCTATACAGGAGGCCACGGGTTCGATCCCGACCATGACGCATGTATATTTGGAGTTTGCATGTTCTCCCCGTGGTGGCATTAATTTTTCTCCGGGTCATCCGGTCATTCCCTCCACATTTAGAAAAGTGCGCTTAGCGTATTTGGCTGCTATACATTTCCATAATGGTGATGAGCCACTTTCGTTGAGCTATCATTTGTGATCAGGTCGCTCCTAAAAAGAGCTATATAGCTCAGTGGGCCTTGCCTGGTAAAATATAATATAGTTTTAAATACTTTGTAAGGTGATACGCATGGACGCACGGAGACAAGAGTAGAATAAACAGCCGGCCTGTTTCCAGGGTGTCCACTCCTACCCGCGCGTCCCTCTCTCCTGGACTCGAGCCGCGTCCACGCTGGCCACCGACCACCGGCGGAGCCGCCTTCCGGCGCCGGCAGTCACGAGGCTGTGCCCGCGACACTCGAGCACGCCTGCAACGAGACGTAAGAGGCACTTTCACTCCCGTCGTCTTCTCCTTCCCTCAGCGCGCACACACACGCGCCCCCCCTCTCTCTCTCTCGCCTCCGTGCCGTCCGCGACGTCTCACCGAGGGCGAGCGAGTCAGCCTCCCACGTGAGGAAGCAGCTTTTCCGCTCGCTGTCCCAGACGCTCACGAGGCCGGAGCTCGTGCCGGCAAATACGACGCCTCCCGCACCGTAGCACACGCACGTCACCTCGGCGCCGCCCAGCTCCGGCGGCACGGCCACCATGTCCAACTGGGGAGGGGCGGGGCGGGGGGGGGGGGGGGAGGCGGCACAGGTGTTGGGAAATGCTCACCCCCACGGCCCCGTAACCCTCAATCACGGTCAGTGTCCTGACCTGCCCCGACTGGTTATCTGTGAAAAAGAGGTTTTTTCGCTCATCGGATTTCTCCAGTTTAATTAAAATATTCGGATACAGTGTAGGGCGATATTTGAGCCAGGTGCCGATTTAACCCTCGGGAACGACACGAAGTGGATGGAGGAGCCTTTGTCCAGCAGTAGACTAACCACGGTGTGCCTCTCATGAGCAACTAACCCGCCAGAGCAGACAGATGTCATCATCCCTGCACCAAGCCTCCCCTCAGTTCGCAGGGAGTGAAGCATTGTGATCCCTTCTTAATTTGCTTGGACGGCGGGGGTCCGATGCGCTGATCCTCGTACAAAGTCAAATCACCCTCAGTTTAACATGCAGCAGGCTTTTGAGACCAATATAAGGATTCACAACTAAATTGTGTGCCATATCACATGGGTAAAATGCGTGTTGTACACCCTCCTCCACCGAACACAGCCAATGAATAACGTTGTTATGTGAACGTTACAATGTATTACTGCTTCAGCATTGCTGTCTGTTGGAGAGCAATCCACATTCAATAATTGGTTACAATTAATTGTTCAATGTTGTGGATTTAATTTGTTCACACGACGACTTTATTAATTGCCTGTGTCGACTGGAGGAGGGTTTTACGACGCAAAAAAATCAATGACGCTTCACACTCAGCTGTTTAAATCGCTGGCAGGCAGGGGGGGGGGAGGGATGGAGAGGAGAGCGAGACTCACGCTGAGCCCAAACTCGCGTCCGCGCTGCTCCACGAGTCCAAACGCGATGTGGCCACTTGCCGCGCACACAAATTCCCCCGCGCGGCCCGGGCGGAATGCCAGCGCGTGCGCTGGCACAGGGCAGCGCACACTCGCCAGCAGAGACACGTCCTGCTGCACCGCCCACAGCGCCAGCGAGCCATCGCGCCCGTCTCCTGCCAGGCAGAGGCAGCGGAGCGGAGGGGATGCGATGGGGGGAGGGGCGAGAAGGTCACGACGGGAAGCCGGTAAACGGCATTCACACATTTGGTGGTCAGGACGTTCGGTCAAATGGTGTCCTCTCCAGGTTCACGGCTCAAGAAGAACCCTCGTGTGGAGTGTGCGTGTGTGGTGGTGTGAGGTGAGGAGGAGGAGTGGGATTGTATGGGAAGGAGGGAGCCTGAGCCATGGACCTGCCCTTGAGTGAGGAACTCAAGAAGACCTGTAACTTGTGCAAAACTAAATTTCTAAAACATTACTCCCAAACCACCACATCCAACCAAGTGTTGTGTACACACATGGGATGAGACGTTTTCGTTCTTCTTTCTGCGTGTAATTTGTTGTCCTTACCCTGCACAACCGATTACAATGGTTGGCTATGTACGGTGTGGAAGAAGTTCAACATACATACATACATTCACGCCATTCTGAACAATATTCTCCATGACCATTGATTCCCAGGTGCAATGTTAACAGCATTAACATTTGCAACGCATTTGGTGCCATTTCTCCACTGATACTATTAGTTCTAGAGTTATGCATGTTGCAATTATTTTGCACCGTAGGTAGCGGGATGACAAACACACAGCTTGCAAAAAATCAACAGCAGTGCGATGATAAAACATCGCTAGTCTCTCACTAGCACAAGGACATCACACGGGCGCTGCGCCCATCCCATGCACAAGTGGAAAATAAAGAATAGGTCCCAATTGTGACTGTGGCTCCACGCCACACACTGGACGTCCTTCTTCGCATGGCCGATGTTGCTGAAGAGCACAAGTATAATCTTACATTGAGATGGTTGAGCCAGATAATTGCTTCAAGTGTCGCAGAGTGCATTCTCCGTGGTGCCGCACCTCAGATTAGTGCAGTTGGCTAAGTACGGTGTGAAAAAAGTTCAACATATGTGCATGCCTCTTTCATATTTATCAATCGCGCATCCGGTCGTTATACGTTCCATGTTCTGTTCTGGGTGACCACAGTCGCACACTGCCAGAGCAATTTCAATATTCCATCTTTGCATCAAAGTATCTGCATCTGCTGCTGTCGTGGTTTATGGAGATGTGGATCCTAAACCACTGCCCCCCACACAACATCGCTTAACGGAGGAACAGAGGTGCCCCAATGCTCGTTTGTGACTTTATACATTCGGCCGTACGGGAGAAGACGATGACAACGACGTTAATGTCCGTCCCCTGTGCGCACGATTGAGACGCGGCGCTCGCGCGCGGGGAGCACACACCGAGCGAGAGGAGGAAGCGATCGTCGCGGGAGAAGGCCAGGGCCTGCACGTCGCCGCGGTGATGAGACGGGCCGCTCCGGCAGACGCCGCTGGCCACGTCCCACATGCACATTTGTCCACAGGAGGCGGACACCAGTGTCTGGGGACGAATACGGTGCTTGTCGTTCACACAAAAAAGACAAAGATCCTTCCTAGAGCCTTAACAGACTGTCGGGGGCTGTCAGCGAGGAACTATGAAGGCCGGCACGGCACACTCAAGGGTCAGTGGTCAACACCATCCCCGGCTGCCTTCGTCTCCCCAGTCTTGCTGATGCTAACACACTGCATTAGATACTCATTTAAGCCTGAGTCAACCTAGGGGAGAACCCGTACCAATTAAGATATTTGGCACTGTTATTAGTCGCGAGCGGGAATTTAACTTGCATCCCTGGGTCCGTAGTGCAGTGCGCTATCCACTAAACTACTGCTCCCCTGCTCATAGAAACCCATTCACACGCGTGACTGTGTCAGACTGTCAGGCCAAATTAAAGGAATATAATGAAAGTATAAGGCATGTAAAATCAATGCTTACGATAATGATACATGCATTTCATGTTGAATGTAATGGTTTCATGTGATTCCTACAGCCACTAGAGGCGCTATATTCAATAGGATGATTTTGAGTTTGCACTGAACACACCGATTAAATATTTTTTCAAATTATTTGGCGATACTACATTGGCAGTGAGTGCACAAGCATTGTGACGCACATCTATAATCCAGTACTTTGGAGACAAGGGTTAATGGATCACAAAGATGTGGAACTCCCAATCCTGCTGGGTTATGACGGCAGACAGGAGACAGCTGGCCTCTTACTCTGGGTGCTCTGATTTCCTCCGACATGCAAAACATTCCGACATGGAATAGGCCAAATATCGAATGTGTCGGTGGCAAGATGTTATCTACCTCGCCTGGTATGGAGGAGGTTGTGGTTTCGATCCTGACTCCGACGCCTGTATATTTTAAATTTGCATGTCTCTCTCCCCATTGTCAGGTGGATTTTGTTCCGCATCCTCTGGTTTTTCCCTTCACATTTGAAAACACGGGTTTAGAGCATTTGGCTGCTGTAAATTTCCACACGATGAGCCACTTCGTGGCGCTATCAATTGTTGCCAGGTCGCTTCTGATAAAGAGCTATAATATAGCTCAATGGGCCTTCCCTGGTAAAATATTTGTAAAAAGTTTAGTTTTCGAAGAGAGTCCCGATTGAACTGTTTACGGGTCTGGACAGAGGCTGGAAGAGGCGACTTTGAGACCTGAGCGTCGTGCGAGATGGCCAGAGTGGAGATTTCCCGCTGGTGGCCCAGAAGGTGCCTCTGGTCGCCGGAGCGCAGCTCCTCCACGACGACCACGCATCCGCTCGAGTAAGCCAGCAGACCTGAGAGTGCGCACGCATGCGGGAGAGGTGGACGCCGGTGGACACAGCAGCGGAGGCTTGTGCAGGGGACGAGGGGGGGGGGGGCCCAATTTGTCACGCGTCGGCGAACTTTGATTTTCATCAAATGCTCGCTGAAAAGAGTGCCGATGCCTCCGCCGCCAATGAAGTGACAAATCGCCGAGGCCAAAGGGGATTTTGGCCCTTTTGTGAAGATGAGAATGTGGCACATTAGTAGCTGCTTTCTTAACCAAGTTTGTCTGCTGAGCAGAGTGGCGTTAGTGAACTCTACTGGCGTGAAACAGTGGTGGGGCGGTTAGTGCACTGTGCGCTATCAATCCAGTGACCGGTCTGACACAAAGATCCCCTATATAGCCTTGCCAGATTGTTGGCGCAAGTACTGTTAGCGAGCACCTATGAAGGCAAGCACCACGCCTGGCTGCCCTTGTCTCCGAGTGACGATGTTTATACACTGCACCAGGGACTCATTTGAGGCCGAGTCGACCAAGAGGAGAGGCCCAGGATTGGTTCAGATATTTGTCACCGATGTTGGTCGTGGACGGGAATCGAACTCGGATCGCAGGGTTTGTAGCCCAGCGTGCGAACCACTATGCTACCGCTCACCCCTAGACATACACAAGCACACACAAATATGCACTAAGTGGTCGTCCTCTAGTAAGGCTCACACCCGCGGCACAGTCTCATACAGTGTGTGTATGCGCTCAAAGCGTTTGGCCGTGCAGCAGTCGCCACGGACGTGCGTGCGGACGTCACAGATCAGGGGGGTGCAGATGCCGCCCTCCATACCGTTGTCCGGCCGCCACACCAGGTTTCCGCGCCCGTTGCCGTTGTACCCGACGACAGCCTTCAGCCTCAGGCCTGGCAGTTCGCCAGCAGTTGTGGGCTGCTGCTGCTGCTGCTAAGAGAAAATCCGCAGCGCCCCGATTGCATTTACACCATTCGAAGTTTGAACAAGTATTTGTCAGGCGTGTTGCGAACCGGAATTGTAAACGCGTGAACTGCAAACACTTTTGTTTGTCGAGGCCTGCCACCTGTACAGGATTCGTAAGGGCAGCACAGATTTTAGATGGGCCCACCCAGCACTCTTTTGCCTCTTTGAATCACTTGTGTGATTGCCACCGTTGTCCCAAACACCTGTTTTCCAGGAAATATGACTGAAGCAAAACATAATAATAGGGTTTTTCCCCTTTTTTCTAGCAACAAAACTGAAACCTTTTTACAAGGATTCATGCCTGCATTAGCCACTATACCTGCAGTCAAAATGCAAACAAAAAACATACTATGATAATATATGCATTGTCCTTGAAACTGATTTGTCCACACCAAGGGACGGCTTTCTTTTGAGCCTAATGATGTAGATGCTCACCCCGAGCCCTCATTACTTTGATAGTGCATTGTCTTTGAGCTGTACGCCTTTTGGCGTCATCCGGTCGAGCACCAATTGGGTCGAGGCTCAAAATAAAGCCGTCCCTTGGTGTGGACAAATCAGTTTCAAGGACAATGCATATATTATCATAGTATGTTTTTTGTTTGCATTTTGACTGCAGGTATTGTGGTTAATGCAGACATGAATCCTTGTAAAAAGGTTTCAGTTTTGTTGCCAGAAAAAAGGGGGAAAACCCTATTATTATATTTTGGTACTGGCAAAGGAGGTCTAATGATGAAGCAAAACACTTTCCCGCATTTTCTTTCTCCGTATTTTTACAAGTTCAAAGATAGTAACGCCATTTATTTATGCTTAAACCGGTTTGTCATGTATTTGCACAATGCATTTGAAATTGTAGATGTCAAATGAAAGTTTACTCTACAGTGGATCCCCGTTTATCCCGGTACGGATAAATCTGTGGTGCGGATTAATTCTTATGGCAACCTTACCAACTCGCGTCAGCGTGTGACCACAAACACAATCACAAAGACAAAGATCCCCTGTATAGCTTTTAAAAGACTGTCGGGGCAAGTGCTCTCAGCGTGCACCTACAAAGGCCTGCACACCACACTAGAGGGTGGGTGGCTAGCACCGTGTCCGGCAGCCTCATCTCTCCCTCGTGGCGATATTTACACACTGCACCAATTGAGCCTGAGTCGATCTAGGGGAGGCCCGGGACATGTTCAGATAAATGTTGGCTGCGAGCGGGAATGGAACTCAGGTCGCCGAGTTCGTAGCGCAGCGAGCTAATCGCTACACTACCGCCCCACACACAGACACACACGTAACCGGCTGCCATACCGGGGGGTGCTCGGTGACCCCGCGTCGCGCCTGGAAGTGGCAGTAGGGCAGCGCGGGCCCCCGGCCTTCCCCATCCGACGCTACCGTGACGTCTGTTATCAGACAACATGGCGGAGGGCTTCAGTGACAATGTAGACAGTAAGGGGGCAACAATTAAAGTAAAATAAACAAACATTAGCACCACAGTTTAACATACTAACTACGATAACCAAACAAATTTGTTGAACCTATGACTGTGTACACAGGTCAACTTTTGCCTAAATATCTTATCTAGATGTACACAGTGGCTTGTTCCAAGGCGCTTTAGAGCAATTGTAAAATTGTACATAAGCTCAAAGTGCTTAAGATAAAGACGGTGGTGTAAATGATTTTTTCAATATATATTTGAATGAAACTGGTGACAGAATGGGACCCAGAGGGGGGCGGGCGGGGGGGATATCCTGAGAGCATTACCCCTGTGGGAATGCATCAACGAGATGAGCTTGTACAGGAGCTGGAGGCATTGTGGCATCGCAAGACCGTGAGAAATGGCGAGTAATGTGGACAGCAGTGAACAGATCATGGTTGATGGACGATGATGATGATAATTATGAGAATGATGTGTCTATGTGTGTGTCTCTCTCTGCTTGTGTGTTTGCCTATGTGTCTCCGTGTCTGTCTTTTGTCTCTCTCAAATTTAGCAATCTTTGGAAGAACGTAATCAACCAGGTAGGGTGTTGACTGTTGTGTTAGCCGTCTCTCTGTATTGTATTGCATTATATTTCTAAGTTTCATACTCTTTGGTTTTTTCGGTAAAGTCACGTAGGTAAAATAAATGAAAACTAAATTAAATCACGACGTTTCGGAGGCGACACAAGCTTCCGTCTTCAGGTGGAAACCGTCACAGCAAAATTGCTGTATCAAGTGAAGAGAGCTCTTCAAAATTGCTGTATCAAGTGAAGAGAGCTCTTCAAAATTGCTGTATCAAGTGAAGAGAGCTCTTCAAAATTGCTGTATCAAGTGAAGAGAGCTCTTCAAAATTGCTGTATCAAGTGAAGAGAGCTCTTCACTTGATACAGCAATTTTGCTGTGACGGTTTCAACCTGAAGACGGAAGCTTGTGTTGCCTCCGAAACGTCGTGATGTAATTTAGTTGTTTTCATTTATTTTATTTTACCTACGTTACTTTCCCGAAGAAAACAAAGAGTATGAATCCTTGCAGTCACGAAAGCTTCAAATCTAGAATTTCTAAGTTTGTTTTCTCATTAATTCTTACCTGATGACGGTTGCTTGTGCTGCATTCGAAGCGTCGTATTCTATTATTATTATTGAATTTATTTTCTTTCTACGTGACTTTACCGAAAGACCCATAGAGTAAAGAATGATGAAGACAATGATATCAAGCAACGGACCCTTGGCACCCTCCTCTTGCTGGGGCTTGCGCTTGCGCGGTGTGGCGATGAGCCGCGTCGCGACGCTGCGGTCGCCCGTCTTCTCGTTGACGATGACGACCGTGCGGCGACCCCCGCGGGAGCGACAGCGGCCTCCGCTCCAGTCCATCTCCTCGCCCGACGCGCCCCCTCTCCTGGACACTTCGCCGGGGTGAATCACCACTAAAAGGCACACGCACACAGAATAAGAGTAAAAGGGACAAAGATTTGACTTTTCGATATGCGCATTGTCAAATATCAATCTTTCTTTTAGTGCCAATATCGCCCCCAATAAAGGAGGCATCAGTGCATATTACAGCAAGACGGGAACGGTACAGGGGGCACAGAGCAATAGGAATGAGAGAAGAAACCCCTCACAACTCCAGCCTTAATCCTCAGCGGCTAACACATTGTTGTTTAAATAGAGAAAACATATTCTGCCTCAAACTCACGTGCTCCGCCGAGTGTGATTCCAATAATGCATCCTCCCCATGTGTATTTAGACACATCTAAACTTTTGCTTTGATTTGTTTTTGCAGGTTTTTTTTAGAGACATGGTGTTTACCGCAAATAAAAGTGGACTTGTGAAAAGATGCATCTCTAGAAAGGATAATGGCTGGCGCTTGGGGCTAATGATGGGAGTGACAGCCAGAGGAAGGAACACACCGGAGAGAATGTCCCCACTTCAGAGATGACCTTGTGTGTAGGTACGAGACGGATCGTTGCATCGCAAGAAACACGAGAGGTGACGAGGATCATGGCGGCGAGATGTTAACTACCTCGCCTGGTATGCAGAAGGATGGGGGTTTGATCCCGACCCTGACGCCTGTATATTTGGAGTTTGCATGTTCTCCCTGTGGTCGAGTGGATTTTTCTCCGGGTCCTCCGGTTTTACCTCCACATTTAGAAACGCGCGTTTAGTGTATTTGGCTGCTAGAAATATACACATGATAAGCCACTTCTTTGAGCTATCAGTTGTGGCCAGGTCACTTTTGAAAAAGACCTAGCTCAGTGAGCCTTACCTGGTTAAAATTGTTTTATTTTAATATGCGTCTCTATATGTGTATTGGTCTCTATGTGAGTTTACGTGCCTATGGGTCTCTACGTCGACTTGTTGGTCTCTCCGTGAGTTTAGTTTTTAATTCAGCAGTGGGGATTGATCATGGCCGATGATGATGATGACGATGACGGGATGATGAGAGGGATTTCCACAGTCGGGCAGTGCTTGACATCGGAGGAGGCATCGACGCATGGAGCTCATGGGAACGGTGACCTTGTGGGTAGCGATAAAATAGTGACAAGGAATTGCCTGTACGGCAGCGAGAGTGAATAGAGCGAATCGGTGAACGCAGGATCATCAGTTGTCCAATTTGTTTTACTATCAGAGACAAGGAGGAACTGGAAGCTTCCTTGCCAATGTATAGGCAATGTTCAAAGCTCAGCTGACCTTATATGCCTAAGCTCAAATATGTCTACGCTTAATTGATGTCATTGGTGAATTGTCACAAATATAAAGAAAATGCACAAGGACCAAACAAAAGGAGCGGGAACAATATAAAACATGTTACTTTTACAGACAGGCAGTGGAGTTGCGCAGTGGTAATATTCATGCCACACAGCAAGAAGGGCCTGGGTTTAGTTGTCCAATTTGTATGTTCTCCCCCTGTTCTGCATGAGTTTCCTCCCTTTGCTAAAAAAACATATACAATGTAAACAGTACAAGTCAAATATCCCAATGCTGAAACATTACCTGCACATTACTTAATTGGGATTGCACACAGCGACATCGCCGACTACTGTGAACGCCTGGGCAGGACCCTGCTGAAAAAGACACTTGAGACTGAGCGAGGCTTTCTTGGGTAAAAAAAATAATCAGAAGCTGGTGCAGCGTCAACATGTATGTATGTTGATCTTTTAATCGGAGGTGCAGAGGGAATGCAGCCGCAGCCCATCTTGTGACTACAGCAGCCACCACCTAGTGAGTAATGGCGATGTGTTGGAATGGTCGTTCGCGCAAATACGGATCGGGAAGCAAATTGGCGGCGTCACCTTCGCGGCCCTGCGTGCCGTCTGGGCGGCGGGCTGCCCATGGGCTGGAGGCCTTGGTTGCGACGGGCCCTCGTATGGAGCTCACATCCAGGATGGGCAGGCTAGACACCAACGCGGAAGCTCCGGCGGCAACATCAGGGTCCACTCTGTGCACGGCTTGTCACGGAATACCGCACGACGTTCATGCAAATCACGCGCGACCGTATTTAAAAAGCAAACCAGATAACATTCTCCATAATAAAGGTTTTTTTGGGTTTGATCGCGTAAATATATGTGTCATTAAAACCCGCCCTTCAATAGGTACGGTTATTTTAATACATACAATAGACAGGAAGGACAAGTTGAACGGGCATAATGTACGTTGCCTCAGTATTCCCTCGCCCCCCCCCACATGGCGCAAGAGTGCAGAAGTGTGGTCACCACATCTACGCCTCTATATAAGGAACGAAACAGGTGGACTTCCCCACAAATCTGGCTGTCGCCCGATGAAGCTGGTTGTAATTACTGGCGAAACGTCGTACTCAGATTGTAAATGTTGTGGCTTGGCTCTCCAACACACCGGTGTGCTGCGCTAGTGACGAATTGGCCACGTTCTGTTTACGTGATAACCCTTACTAGTTGGCTGTGTCGGGTGGTGGCGGGTTTAACGACACATTTATTTATTTCCGCGATCTAACCCAAAAAACCTCTATTATGGATGATATTGATATTGGTCACGAAAGCCTACGTGTTAAACCCGATAACATTCTGTCTAAATTTACCACCTCCCATTGCACTTCCACCGCCATTCCTAATTGTCACCCCTGCCATATTTTTCCCTGGTTTGAGGGATCGCCCTCCAGTTACACACGACTGCAGAATGCATAGTGAAATCTTTTGCACCGTACATAGCCGACCGTGCTAATAGGTGGTGTGGTCGTTGAGATGATGAGTGTCGCACCACTGTTCCATCTGCCCAACTCACACTTTTGTTTTGATCTGTTTTGCGTGTTTGTTTTGTCTAAATGTGCTCGTTTATTATTTATTTTGTCTAAATGTGCTGTTTATGTTTATATGGTCGCCATGTAAAGCGTCCTGTTGCTTTTAGTAACTAGAGGCTAGGAAACATCACGTCATTGCTGCGATAATGCGTATTAAAGTGTCTACCTGCTGCTCAAATTGGCCCTCAAGTCTGGTGCCAGCATTGAGCCATCAGTGGAAATGCCACGTTCTCATGGCAGGACCCTGTCTCTCCATAGGACAAATCCTGTGGGATTTCCACACACACAGATACTAATTTTACTGATCCCAAAGGGATGATGGGTTGGATTTCAATTAGCAACCTTTCATTGGAGAGTATGCTTATTTTACCAAAGGGCTTCCCTGGTTGGATTGATATAGACCCCTTGATGAAAAGGCACTTGTAAACTAAGTGATTATTAAAAAAAAGTATTTAAAACACATTATATTCTGATATCCTGTGATATATCGCTTAGAAAATACTTCTTATGTAATAACACTGAACACGCTTGTAATATAATTTCTCATTGCCATGTATTTTAATAGGATTTTTTTTTTATTTATACACAGGCTTTCTCAACCAACATCATGATTCGTAATTAGATTCCTTTGGGTTAGATCATCGTGTAGGTAAAATGCCAATGTTTATTTCTAACCCTCCACCACCTGACAGAACTGGGCTTTTGTGAACACCTGACCATGCTGGATGTAATATCCAGCGAAACGTCGATCATACGAAATTGTAAACATATTGCTTGGGCATTTCAACATTTTACAGACACAATCTAATCCAAAATAAATTATGAATCAAAAATGCAACACGCTTCACCTCTGCCGTGTAATTTCTTTGGGGATCCTTTAGGAGCTCTTCCATTCATTTTCTCCCTGGGAAAAAAAGCAAAACATAGTCGTTAAACAAAGCACAAACATTCAATTACCTCCGTAACAACACGCAACTGTGTATGTTACTCCGGGGAACCTCTCTTTCCTTGATAGAACACTCCACCAATTTAAACCCATGAGTGTTCATTGGAAAGCTTGTGATACGTAGTTTATGTGCACAAGCTCAATATCGTGAAAAATGATTTACCTTTGACCCAATCAATCGGCTAATTCGGTTTATTATTGGTCCGTGGTGTTGCTTATCCGATGTACCATTTGCAAATCGTAATGTGGGTGCCACTTCAAAACCATACAATGCATTGGTGTGGGCCACTGGGGAGGAAATTGTGAGGGAAGGGGACAGAGCTCGTTTTGGGGGGTTGGGGGGAGAGACCGGCAAGGGCTCAATATAAATTATTGTTGTTGCATCTCAATAAGCTTCATACTGAATTTATTACACAGGACGATCCATTTATAAATACTCCACTAAATACTGTCTCCCACCAATCTCAAAATACATATCAAATCTGGTGAAAAAAAAGCGCTCTCGGGTAAGATATCCAGCCATCTCTCGCACAAATATTCGGTCAAACTGTTCACAAGCAAGCAAGAGGGACGACATAATTCAGCGGGGTATCTGTAAATGTATTGCCCTGCGTATGCCACTGATTGAACCGAGCGGCAAGTTGTCACGGTGTATATGGGTTTGGGGCCCCACCTGAACGCGGGCAGAGCCAGGAAATCCCAGATGAGGATGGCGTCGCCCACGCTGACGAGCCCCAGCTGGTCCGGGGTGAACATCACGTGCCGCACGCTCTCCGAGTGCCCGATGAACGTCTGCGGAGACGGCGAGCGTTTCAGCCTCCCTCACTTAATACCGCAATAAGACGCGTAACGTCCACGCAACACACGCAGAGAGTGACTACACGGCTGCGTACGTTACTGTATGCATGTATATTGAACTTATTTTGCAACGTACGTTCAACATACGCACATACATCATTGTATGCAAGTTGAACGTATTTCGCACCGTACGTAGCTAACTGTGCTAATCAGAGGTGCGGGGGGGGGAAGGACAACAAACTAAACACAAAAAAGTTGCCTGAAGCAGACCGTCAACCCACATGCACTGTGGCAGCGAGTTGATATGTTTATAGAGCGGCATTCAAATTCGATTCTGTTCTTGCGTATGATGGCAATATGTTCAGGAGCTGCGTACCAATGCTCTGGTCTGCTCGCCACAAGAGGGCTTCAGGAGAGAGCTTGTGTCGCTTTGCTATACTTGTCTACCACCCGCCTGTGCATCACTCACCTGTGTGCCACCCACCTGCCTACCACCCACGATGTGCATCACCCACCTGTGTGCCACCCACCTGCCTGCCACCCACGATGTGCGTGTTTACCCACCTGTGCTCTACAAACATCTATGGCACCCAACCTGCATAACGTGTCACGCAACCATCAGCCACGCGTGCACGAGCGCCTCCCACCTGCGCATCGGTGCGGTGCTGGGCGCGCGCGTCCCACACTTTCACCACGCGGTCTCCGGCCGTGGCGAAGAAGCGGCCGTCCTCGCTCACGTCCGTGGAGACGCAGCGCGTGTGGTGAGCCGCCGAAAGCTGCGCGTCCGGGAACGAGACGGCCAAGAGTGAGCGAGGGCTGTGCGCGTCCACACTCCACCTCCGGAGGAGAGGGGTCACCGTGCTTCTCGAGTGGAGCATGCAACAGCCAGGTGGCAGTTGTGTTGACTCGGAGCCTTACCCCTCAAACGAAAGACGTCACACGTGTTAAGAAGTCACACCTAAACAGAGGGTCACAGAGAGTTACGAGAGACAAAGAGTCAGTGAGCGACGGGTGCATGAGTGGGAGAACAGTTCGATCCTCAATGTGCAGGTACATCTGGAGATACCACGAGTGAAGTCACTGGTTGACTGGCACAGAGACCCGTAGACTTGCATAGAGACACATAGACTCGTAAAGACCCATATACGTCTGCAGATACCACACATGACGTTACAAGTTGACTCACAAAAAAAACCCACACTCACAGAGAGACCAACAAGTTGACAGAGAACCACTGACACGTAAAACTCGCATAGATAGAGACCAATAAACGTGTAGTGACATAGGGGATGTCACTGTATGGTGCCGGCCCGAGAGGGTCGTGGCGTGCGATGTCCCTACATCGCGGACAGCACCGGGTGGGTTGCTGTGTGAGGCCGGCTCTCGCAGAGCACGGCGTGCGATGCACCGTCATCGCGTACACCCCGTAGGCGGGTGTAGTACCAGCCCAAGCGGGGCTTTGTGTGCGCTGGGATAGCGCAGGCACCATGCATAGCGTGTAGTGTGGGCTCCCACAAGGGGGAGTGGGAAAGTGTCAGCCCAGGGGCAGGGTTGCCCTGGGCCATGGCACTCTCGTTGACCCTGTAGACACGTGATCCAGAGTGTCCACAGAGAGAGATCCAGGTGGGGGGGCTAGGGGCTGACCACGTGTCCGGGGAGAGCTCTCGAGAGGGATCGGGAGGGAGCTAGAACGCTCGAGAAGGTGGGTGTTTGTTTTTTCTCACTCATTCTTACCTGATGATGGCCGCTTGTGTTGCAACTGAAACGTTGTATTCTATTATTATTTTATTTTCGACGTGACTTTACCGAAAGAACCAAAGAGTAACTCTAAATGCATGTTTCGAAATGTGGAGGGAATAACCGGAGGACCTGGAGTAAAATCCACACGATCACGGGGAGAACATGCAACTCCGAATATACAGGTGTAAGGGTTGGGATTGAACCCACGACCTCCTGCATACCAGGCGAGGTAGTTAACATCTCGCCACTGTGGTGCCCAATATACTTAAGAGACCCACACAGCAAGACAATCCTGCATGTGCAGGTCCGTCCGCGGACTCCGCAAGCGGAGTCACTGGTTAAGGGTTGTACAGCCTCCCATTTCTCCATGCCTCTCTCTCTGCGGAGCATCAGCTCGCTCACGCTCGGCCCCGCGAGTCCGCGGCCGCATTTCCGGCCGCGTCGTTTGCACGGCGCACCTCTCGGAGGTTGCGGCCCGTCGCCGCGTCGAGGACGACGATCCTGCGGGATCGCATGAGCACCAGCAGCCGGCTCGAGTCGGGAGGCGCGAAGCGGACTGCCAGCGCCCGCTCGGGCCCCGGGTCCTCGTGCCCCGTGGCAGTGCCGGCGCTCACGGAGACTCGCAGCACCTGCGGGCGGGCACCCACGGGGGTCGCGGAGGTGTGTGAGCACGCGCCAGCGGTTCTATACCGGTAGAGAGGAATGACTCTGCTCCGTCATCATAGTCATCAGCAGCAAAAGTCGTGATCAATTCACAGCTGGATGAAGGCCTTCTCCAAGCCGTCGTCACCTATCGTGGTTCGTTGACGCAACGATTCATCTAGTACCTGCGCATGAGCTGAGCTCATTGCTCCTATCTCCACGGTGGACAAACTCTCATATGTGTTACTAACTCTTGACTACTTTGGCTCACTGAATCAAAAGTGGCTGGTTTGTAATAGGAGTTGCATAACTTATTTTCCCCAAAATGGAATATGTTTCTCGTTAACAGTCATTACTGGCGCCATGTGACAATAATGTTTGCGTATGTTTTAAATGAGTTATCTGATTAAAGCTGGAATTGGTTAGAATCCATCACGTATCCGATTAGCACGGTTGGCTATGTACGGTGCGAAATAAGTTCAACACACATACAAGCGTATACTTTAGTAATATTGATATCCACCAGGATCCTCTTTACAGAATGAACAAATTAATTCGTAAAGAAAAATGTACAAACCATGAAACCGCGGACTACCAGACTAATAGAGAGAAGTGCCCTGGTCCGGATAGCTTAAATATTCTGGGTTGCTGCGATTTCACTTAAATTCAATGTCAAAAAAGGTGTGCGTGCATCATATTTACACGTACACATGGACTACTATACTGTGTACTGTATAGAGTATGCACGCATAAAAAAGTACAGTACTTGTGGTGTGTACCGTATAGTACTGCAATGAAGCTCGTAGGTCTGAGGGTGCACAGCTCCACGCAGCACCCCTTCCCCATTCCCCTATCACCCCTCAACACCCCTACCTCACCCTCCTTCTCCTGTCACCCCTTCCTGCCATCCCCCACCACCCCTACCTCAACCCCCCTTCCCCTATCACCCCTCCCTGCCACAACCCACCACCCCTACCGCATCCCCCCACCCTCTTCAGAATCAGTGGTTCTTTCCTGGGTAAACAAACAAGCCTAGTATTAATAATACATTGCCAAGAGATGCTCTTTTTATGGTTTACAGTGAGACATGAGAGACAGGAGGGCGACGAAGTGAAGCTGACGCCGGTGAGAGTGGGGACACGGCAGGCGGAGCACACGAGGTGGGTGGGGGGGGGTAGTATAGCCTCACCTCCTCCAGTGACCGTGCGTCCATCACCGTCACCGCATCCTGGCTGGGCCCCACAAAGGCTAAGCGTCGTCCATCAGTTGACAGGGCCAGGACGCTCGGGGCGTCGTCTCCGTCGTCCTCCTCCTCATCGGCCGCCCGTCTGCCCCTTGTTGCGACAACGTTCCCTGCAGTAGCAGTTCGGAGGAGGTGAGGCCTCTCATCGCTAAAGCCCCTCAACCCGGCACACTCCCCATTAGGAGAGCAGTGTGGGGGGTGGGGGGGGAACTAATGAACTCGAGCGATTGTAAACTTTTCATGGCCACAATTATTATCATGGCCCGTGAGTGAAAAAGTCTAAGAAATGGGAGTCCCACAATCTTGGAACGGCAGGATGATAAGAGCTTTACCAACTTCATGCTGAATAAACACTGCATCAGTAAATAATTGATTACGGAAAAGCTTCACTAGCCTAAGTGAGGCTTTCTTGAAGATCCCGGGCTCTTTTGTCAGATGACAAATCCATTTATGGCACTGCCACCTACTGGCCAGCAACATAGTCGATGGAAAAAAGTAAACATTTATACACTTGAACCTTTTTAACATTAATGGGTGGGGCGAGTCCATGCAGGATCTTGAAGACAAATCCCAGTCGGCCCTTATTTCTATTACTGCCTGTATGTATGCAGAACTTTTTTCGCACATTACGTAGCCAACCGTGCTAATCGGAGATGTGGGGGAAGGACAACAAACTAAACTGCCTGAAACAGATTGTATCTTCCTGGTGGGAAACAAATAATTAAACTATACCTTCATTGACACCAGCGCCTGTGCAACCAGTAGCGAGACAGAGTTAAACACCCATTGGCACGCGGGCTCACCCAGCACCCGGAGCGCGGGCAGGTCGTCGTCGGACGCGTCGTACATCGCGAGGCTTCCGAGCGAGCAGGCGCTGTACATGAATTCTCCACTGCGTGAGAACGCCAGGGCAGTGATCTGGCCCCTGTGCTGCCTGTATCGTGGAAGCGGTGACACACCAAATACAAAGATCCCGCCTGTACAGCCTTTAACAGACGGTTGGGGCAAGTGCTGTTAAGCGAGTAGCACCTATGAAGGCCGGCACGGCACACGAGGCGGTGGGTGGCCAGCACCATGCCCGGCCGCCTTTGTTTCCCTCACGGTGAAGTTTACACACCGTACTAGGCACTCATTTGAGGCCGAGTCGACTCAGGGGAGGCCCAGGACCGGTTCAGAAAAACATCACTGGGGTTGGCCGTGAGCGGGAATCGAACGCGTGTTGCCGGGTTCGTAGTGCAGCGCGCTAACCACTACACCACCGCGGTGACACACCCCAGACGTTTACTACATATACGCAGACACTCACATTTGCAGCATTACCATACACCTCGATACAGTAAATTAGTTTACGGTCCCTTGCCAAGGCCCTGCTGGAAGGTCGTCTCACCATGGCAGGCGATATGCAGTATGTTTGGCCATACTGCATATCGCTTGGTCGGTGCGGGAGTAATAAAGTGTGGGTGACACTGGGCACATGGTCAGATATCACTCGACCTCGAAGCCGTCAAGTTCGTAGCACAATGTGCCGTTTGTTATACCGTCACTTCACGGCCTATAAACACCTGACTATTATCAGCAGCAGGCATGCAAAAATGAACGGCACTGATTGAGTAAACTCGTTACACGCGGCCAATCATCATCATCATCATCGGTGGTGCACGGGTGTCTCGATCACTTTACTTGTGCTCCGCCAGGAGGGCGGTGCTGGCGACGCTGAACGCGCGCAACGAGCCGTCGCTGAAGCCGCACGCGAGCAGCTGGCGCACAGGGTGGCAGCACACGACACACGGCACCACCGCCAGCGTCGAGAAGTCCAGCAGCTGCCGCGCATGAGCACAGGGCAACAACACGGCGATGACACGGTAGCGACATGGTGATGACACTGCAATGACACGGCTACGACACGGCGACGACAGGATAACGACACTGCAATAAAACGGTCACCGTAACAGCACGGTAAGGACACTGCAAAGACATGGCAACGACACGGTAATGACACGGTAATGACACGGCAACATGATAACAACGGGGATACAATACGGCAATGACATGGCAACACGACAATGACACAACAACAACAGAGTAACCACACGGCCATGACATGGTAACAAATCTAAATGAGTAAGCGACTTGCATAGCGCCCGTGTATCTTTATTAGGGTTGTTAGCCAATAACCGGTAACCGTTTTCAGAACTGGTTACCAGTTACGAAAGTCAGGAAGCAGTAAAGTTTTATTTTTTCTAGTTGAATGTGAGTAACGAATGCACTGACTGGTACACGCGTGCGAACAAAACGCATTGCAGCAAGCCACCGCGTGGAACATATGCCTTCTTGGCTAGGTTAAAAAGAAGATATCTTCATATGTTTAGTACTCAAGACATTTCTGTATGTGCGGCGAACTGGTAACCTTCATTTAATCGGTTTGATTCATGTGGTTTCTGATCATGCAAAAACATTGAGAGTGAAAAAGCAGACGTAGAAAATCTTGCTTATTGGGCGAATGGGGGCAAACTGATTAACCAACACAAAGTTAAGTAAACAGGGATGTGTGTGGCGTCCGCACACATTTGGAAGAGAAAGACGATGCTTCCTGCATCACTTCTAAAAAACGCGGCCTTTGGAGGCAACAGAGCTCTGAAAGAGGCAACACGCGACAAGCACAGGTACCTGCTGGCCGTTGTCCGAGTCCCAAACGCGCACGCTCGCATCGCGCCCCACGGTGACCAGGTGGCGCCGCGCTCCGTCCGCCGAGCAGCCCAGCACGGGTCCGGCGTGCGAGCGCGCCAGCGTGGCGTAGTGCCGCGACGCCACCTCCAGGAAGCCGAGGCTGGCGCCCGCGGGCCCCGCCGTGGCGGCCAGCACACGCCGCCCATCTGCCGAGATCGCCACCGCCGACACCGGGGCCTCGTGCTCTGCATCAAAAGCAAGCAGGCATGGAACGCCATTGGCGTCAAGGGGGGTGGCCGAGGGGCTGTCGCCATCACACCGGGCAGACTTGGGGTATGTGTGTATGTTGAACTTCATATTCTTGTGTCTTTTGGAAGCTGATCCCCCCTTTTCCTGAAGACGACCGCTTGTGTTGCGATCGAAACGTCGTAGTTTTTTGTTATTTTCTTTGAACCTATCTAGGTGACTTTACCGAAAGACACAAGAATATGAATTCCTGCAGTCACGAAAGCTATAAGTCAAAATATGTTGAACTTCTTTCGCACCATAGGCAGCTAACCGTGCTAATCGGAGGTGCGGTGAAGGACAACAAACCAAACACAAAAAACAGTTCTAAACACAAGAAGAGGTGGCGAATAACAGTTTCTGGTACCCACCAATCTTGATTTGAAGCTTTCGTGACTGCAGGAATCCATTCTCTTTGGTTCTTTCGGTAAAGTCACGTAGTAGGTATAAAATAAAATAAATCACGACGTTTCGGGCGCAACACAAGCGTCCGTCATCAGGTGGGAAAGCATGGCCTGCTGCTCATGCAGACTGTTTTAAAGGTTTGAAATGGGTGTAGCCCAAGGGTTATAAAGGAGTGGCTGGGTCTAGTGATGTTAAAGTGAGAAATTAGCATGTAACTAGGCACGGAAGTAGCTATGATGTGAGAGATTAGCATGATGTTAACGTGAGGAATTAGCATGAAACTGGGCTATTCTCTCACTTTAACATCATGCTAATCTCTCACATTATCATAGCTACTTCCGTGCCTAGTTACATGATAATTTCTCACTTTAACATCACTAGACCCAGCCACTCCTTTATAACCCTTGGGCTACACCCATTTCAAACCTTTAAAACAGTCTGTATGAGCAGCAGGCCATGCTTTCCCACCTGATGACGGACGCTTGTGTTGCGCCCGAAACGTCGTGATTTATTTTATACCTACTACGTGACTTTACCGAAAGAAACAAAGAGTATGGTACCCACCACTTAAAATATTGCGAGTAAAAGTTTGAATTTGATAAATAAATTGTCACCAACACTGCGTGGGGAGGATATTTTTTTTACTTTTTTCGTGAAATGTACCTTTTACTGTTAAAATAACATTTGTGGCAGTCTCAGCTCCTGACGAAGGACAGATACGCTCGTGTTTAGCTTCTGTCCATAACGTGTAGAGCAATTTTAACCATCTTTTCTCACTGCAGAGGCATCTTGCCGTGCTATTCTTTAATCATATAAAATATGTATGGCTCATTCGGATGCTAACTTTTAAATGGTGTCGCTTATTGCACAATGCTGTAGCCGAGGGGACGGGCAAATTAACACGACTGAACCCACGCTTGCCACATGCCACATGAATCCACCACGTGCCCTATCCCACCGGCTACAGCTCTTCTACTAAACTAAACTTTTTTATTTTACCAGGAAAGGCCCACTGAGCTGTGTAGCTCTTTTTCAGAAGCTACTTGGCCACAAATGATTGTTCCACGAAGTGGCTCATCACGTGGAAATTTATAGCAGCCAAGTTCTGTCAATGCAGGTTTCTAAATGTGGAGAGGAAAAACAGAGGAGAGGAGAAACAGAGGAGAGGAGAAAAATCCACGCAACCACAGGGAGAGAGACATGCACACTCCAAATATACATTAGGTGTCAGGGTCGGAATCGAACCCACGACCTCCTGCATACTAGGCAAGGGAGTTAACGTCTCGCCACCGCGGCGCCCCCTGTGATAGACGCTCTGGTATTCCTATTTAACATCTGCGGCATTGCCTTACTCCTACCCCTCCAGCCTTCACTCCGTTACCCCACCCCCTTCCCAGTTAATTGAACCCTCCCCAACCCCCGCCACCCCCCGACTTGTGACGGCCATATTGAGCGGAGCATCACCTTGTAACTGGGCAATTTTGGGCCTGACGGATGTGCAGATCAGCATGGAGGGGATTGCTCCCAAAGAGCACTCTCTTTATCTTCAGTGCTGCTCCCCCCTCGCCCGTGCGCCAGTCTCACCGGCTTCCAGGAGCATGGTGGAGAAATCCAGCAGCCAGAGCCGCAGGAAGCCGTCATCGGAGCCCGTTGCACACAGTCCCTCCGACACGGACATGCTGTTTATCCCGATGCCCGGTCCTGATGGGATCGAGTATTCACAGGGAGACAGTGTCATAATCTTTGGGACCTTTTTGGCCAGTATCAAAATGATGAAAAAATATAAGAGGGTTGACCCTTTGTGGTAATTAAACAGGTGTTAAATGTTCAAACACCTATTACAAAGGCATCAAGACTGCATTACCCAACATATACGTGGCAAAACATGCAAACAAACATGCTCGGATAAGAAATGCATTGTCTTTGAAACTGATTGGCCTACACCAGACAGCCTTCTTTGTGGCCTTGTCTCACCATTTAGACCAGATACAGTGAGGGAAAAAAGTATTTGATCCCCTGCTGATTTTGTACGTTTGCCCACTGACAAATAAATGATCAGTCTATAATTTTAATGGTAGCTTTATTTGAACAGTGAGAGACAGTTGTATGCCCAGTTGCCTGTTCAGACCAAGAGTCGTAAGTTCAACCGCCACGCAATAGATGGCGGTGGTGGCATCTACATCTACAGAAAGTGAACAACCGGTGGCATTTACGTCTACAGGAGATTATACAACTTTTAAAGCCATTCTCCGTGTTTAGTGTACACGCCGTACAACATGTTGGAATCGACAAGTTGGACTTACAAACAAATCTACTTACAAACAGACCTCTGGAACCTAACTCGATCGTAAGCAGAGGAGTCCCTGTATGAAAGTATAAATAGATCGGGACTTTTTTGCCAGTATAAAAATGATGAACAAAATTAGCCTTTTTTTTTGCTTGCCAGTGTCCATTACAGCAAATTACTTCTTGCGGTGACTATCCCACCTGATGACGGAGGCTTGTGTTGCTTCCGAAACGTCGTGATTTGATTAACTTTATTTTATACCTACGTGACTTTACCGAAAGAACCAAAGAGTAAGTGTCCATATAAATTGTCACGACTTATATATGGACACACTCACGACTAAAATATCTGGTTGTGAGCAGCCATGCGAGATGCATAATTTAATCAATTAAACTATCATCACAGTAGGGATACAATCATTGACATGGAGGCTATTTGTACCTATTCCTTCTCTTAAGAGCAAACACAGCCTGTAGTAGAGCAGTAGTGCAGAGGAACAAGGAGGAGCAGGGGGCAGGGAGTGCCAACAGACGCAGGGAAGAGAACGCAGGGGGATGGCCGTAGATGGCTCACGCAAGACACAGGTCATCGTTGGTGGCATAGCGATCCTCGCTCACCGGACGGGGGGGCACGCTTGCCAGCGTCGTAACTGGCCCGCACGCCCGGCGATGGCAGCAGGCGCCGCACATTGCGTATGGTCACGTTCTTGTAGTCGATCTCCAGGATGTGGCCCGACTTGCTGCAGGCAAAGCTGTGGGAGCACAAACGCAGGGGGTCGAGGGTCACCGTGTTTGAACTACGGCGATAATCTAACAAAAACAAGAGATGGGAACTCGTACAATAAATGAGCTGAGACCTGGCCAGGGCCGAGCAAGGGCTCTTTCTGACTGGAAGGGACGATGAACTTATGGTATTAATAATAATAATGATAAAACACTTCATAGTGAGCACAGATTTTGCAAATCGGCACAACTTTCGATCGAGAACTCGGGAGGCGTAGAGCCAAAGCTCAAAGTCTCTCATGCGATCCTGACCAGGTGAGAGCCTGAACAGGTGAGAAGCTGAACAGGTGAGTGCCTGAACAGGTGAGAGCTTGAACAGGTGAAGGTCTGAAGAGGGCCTGAACAGGTGAGAGCCTCAACTACTGCTTAATGGTGCAGAAAAGGCACAGAATAGAAGTAGACGGAGAAGAAAAACCCGAGCAGCCGACCCGATGCAATAATGGGACGTGTGGTTTAGAATAACTGTTTCTTGAAATGAACGTCGGCTATATAGTATTCCCTCGCTTCCGCAATGGATATGTTCCAGAGATGCTTGTGAAGGGCAAATTTCGCGAATGATATTAGCCTCAAATAAATAACAAAGCTATTAAATATATGACAATTACGTATCTCTCATCACTTTCTCTCGAATCACTTTCATCAGTTTATCGCATCACATTGCTCTCATCACTTTATCTCTCATCACTTTATCTCTTATCACTTTATCTGATCACTTTCTGGCATCACATTCTCTTTCATCTCTTCATCTCATCACTTTCTCTCTCTCTCGATGCAGTCATGTAGACTTCCAGATGTCATTCGTGGATAGCTAAAAAGTTCATGTATAACGAAGGAATACCATACAACCTGCCTCCCCCATATCTCTCATACCCCTTTGCCACTGGCACATCCGAGCCCTCACGGTACGGGTGGCTCTCCACTGGCTATTTGCTGAGCCGACTCACATCCAAATCATCAAACTCTAGCCTCACGAGGCATCTTGGACGTGGCTCGGGGGCCAAGCAGGGCCACGGACATGGTGAATCATTTTCGTAATACGTCATCTCGCGCAATGCATGCGACGTCAGTGGCATGGCTCTGGTTCTGCAGTGGAAAAAATAACCCGGCGCCATCTGAGCCGTGCCGTGCCAGCTCGGCACTTGTGCTGGAGCGGCTCGGTCGTGCGGTGGAAAAAAGGTGCATCGGTGACATTTCGGGTAAAGGTGCGGCCGTGCATACAGCGTGCGGTCGTGTGGCTCGCGGTCGGCAGGCAGGCCCTCCTCGAAGGCCACGTCCGTGAAGTGCGCGGCGTGGAACTCGGCGAGATCCACGGGGCAGGAGCGTAATGCCGAGCCGCGCACGCGCCATAGCCGCACACTACCCCGGCCACACGACACCATCCTGCGCGGGAAAAGCACAACCCATCAGTGGAGCGCGACGTGCGGTCAGCAACCACAACCTGGGCGTGCTAGGCTGGCATGGCAACTCAGGGGTCAGAGAGCCCAGTCGGTTTAGCTGAGATGCTGGGTTACTGGACATGTGAAAAAAAGCTTTCGAGCTCATTAGATTCCTCCCATATAAATACATATTTGGATTCTGTGTTCAAATCCAGGTTGCAGCTGGAACAAACTGTTATCAAAATGGGCTCCTTAAATGTCAAAATAAAGCATCACATTCAATGTAATTCTGCATGTTTGCCAACAACTACACCCCTGGCTCTCCCCATTCATGTGCAAAAAACGGAAGTGAACTGGTAGACTGCCAAGGCGCGTTTTACCTGGTGTCATCGAAGGAGGCGATTTTGATGGTGTGTAGGTCCACGTCGGTGTGCGTTCTGGCAACAACGGACACCAGGCCACCCGTCCGCAACCGAGACGTATCCCACACCACCACCGTCTAGCTCGCACAAGAAGACACGCACGGGTACACGCATGCACGAGCAACGCAATCAAAACAGAAACCTCGGTTCATCAAACTCTAGGAGGCTTCTTGGTAAAGTGCAGATGCTTTCCATGCCCAAAGAAAGTATTTTCTACGAGTTTCTACACAAACTGTGGCTGCATGTAAACAGTAGCCGGTGAGGTCAATAAAACGGACTTACGTTTTTTTCATGGCTATCTTTCCCCACACCGCAAAGCACAGCTCCGCTGTGAGAGAAACTGCAAAAAAACATAAACCTGTTCAATCGTGTCATAAAACAAAAACACTGCTGATGAAGGAAAGGGGAAATCATCTCAACTGTCTTACTATAAATACAGGTCAAGAACCCTGGTAGGAGGTGACCGAGTGGCTCAGTGATCAGAACACTCAGAATTCGGACGGCCATCCGTGATTAAACTTGATTCTCCAGCATAGCGAATTAATGGTCTTAGCCGGGTCCCTAAATTTAAATTATAGCTCTCAGAATAAAAAGCATCATTTAGTCTTTCAAACAGAGTACAGCTCTGACACAAGGAACACTATTTCCAACAAGGTTTACAAATGGGTTATTAATACCATGACATGAAGTCAAGAGCACAATTCAAGTAAATTAGAATATAGTAAAAAAAACCCTAGTAATGAATTTGTTTTGTTGTGCGATGGGCAGCGGCTAGTGACAGCAGAGAGGATGCTGGGAGCTTGAGCCACAGCCCGGATCTAGGGCACAGCACGCAAGAGGGAGAGTAACGCTGGCGGTGGTGACGTTACTAAAAGTATAGTGAACGGAGCGGACGTTTGTATTAACCTAGCGCTGATAGCGCTGAGGTGGCACCACCAAGAATTTTGGTTCGAATTCGACTGGTCTTTCACACGAACTCGGCTCATCCTCACGGCGGGTTTTGGCTAGACATTGAACAAAGAAGGTCACTGCATCTCGTGCTTATAGATATGCTTCTGTGGCTGTCTGGAATGCTTTTCCTTTCCGATATTCGGAAGCCACTGGCTATTCGGAAGCCACTGGAGCTATGCACTTTTAAATCTATGTTTATTTAGTTATCCTTCCCTGCACCTCCGATTAGCACAGTTGGCGATGCACGGTGCGAAAGAAGTTCAACATACATACGTACATACCAACCGGGCTCTCAAGTGTAGCAAATCGATGTGTAACCACTGTTAACGTTATAGACAATGCAAACAGAGCAGACACCTGCGTCACCTGAGCGATGATAGCGCGTGCAGGTGCGGGGTGAAGACGGAGAGGCACTCGCCGCTGGAGAAGTCCCACACGCGCAGGAGGCTCACGGCGCCGGCCTGGGCGGAGGCCAGCAGCGTGCTGGCGCCGTTCATCGTCAGCGCCGTCACCTACACACGCGCACGAGACCCAGCGATCACGTCCAAGGGCCTTGATGCACGTCTCCCATCTCATGTGACTGTGGGACGTTGCTCGTCTCCATTGATGGCCACGAGGCATTGATAGATGCGGGAACACGTATGGCAAATGTATCCAGCAATTGTCACGGGCTACGTATTTACTGTAAGCGACCGGAACAAATTGCTATGGCAATGACACAGAGTAACGGAGTGATCTGTGGCTAATAAAAAAAGTTTGTTTAAAGTGTGCCTGATAAAGAAGGCACACTTGCTGATTTTGGTGTTTTTTTTCTAATCATCAAGTATGAACAAATACAAATAGGTTTTACCCTAAGACATACTTTGATATTGGCAAAAAAGGTCCCATTTTGTAGATGCTCACCCGGAGCTATAAATGCTCTGATAGTGCGTTGTCTTTGTGCTGTTCACCTTTTGGCGTTCTCTGGTCTAACACTGGTTGAGACTAGGCCCTAAAGAAGGCTGTCCTATCTCTGGTGTAGGCCAATCAGTTTCAAAGACAATGCCCATAGATTATCAGAGCATGTTTATTTGCATGTTCACCATAAGTACGTGTGGTTAATGCAGACATGATTCCTTGCAAAAAAAGGTTTCTATTTGGTGTTTGAACATCTTAACACCTCCTGTTTTATTGCCAGAAAGGGTAAAACCTATTCTTATTTTTTCATACTTTGATATTGGCAAAAAAGGTCCAATTTCATTGTCCTACTCTTGGCACTCGGGTTCAAAACAGAATGACGGACAAACATCTTTCAAGAAATCATTAGGAGTGCAGATGCAGTACTGAAACCAGCTCATAGGCAGGAACTGGTTGGTTTGTGCATCGCGAGACCAGGAAAACGACGTGGAGAGGTCCTCATCCAGTATAGATCATGGCTTGGTGATGTTGAAGATGAGTGCAGTGCCGATTCAGGGCAGCCGGACGCACCTTGTCACTGTGTCCCGTGAGGAACCTCTGGTTGCCTGTGGTGATCTCCACGGCAATGATGATGGCATGGCATGGGTACACGATCACATCGCCCTGCCTCGTCCACAACGCCTGAAGGGGAGCACAGTCCATGTGACACACAAGCAATGTGACACAGCCATGCGACACACGAGCCATGGGGACACGAGCCATGGGGACACGAGCCATGTGACACACGAGCCATGTGACACACGAGCCATGGGGACACAAGCCATGGGGACACACGAGCCATGGGGACATGAGCCATGAGGACACGAGCCATGGGGACACGAGCCATGGGGACACGAGCCATGGGGACACGAGCCATGGGGACACGAGCCATGGGGACACGAGCCATGGGGACACAATCTATGTGACACACGAGCATATCACAAACATTATTTTGCTCAACGAATACAAATGATTTGTGTTTTCTTGTCAACCTCCACTGTCAGCAGTGTGGGTGTGTGGAGCGAGGTGCAATGCTTTAATTGGTGTAGACCTACTGCCGGTGTCGGAGCCCTCTCCTACATTAATATTAGCTGCCCCGCCCATCTCTAAACCTTTATAAACAGCTTGCCCTCAAAAGCTAACCTCCCTGTTCCTGATGACGACCGCTTGTGTTGCGATCGAAACGTCGTGATATTTTTTATTCACTTTCTTTTCAATATTTTATTGTTCTCATTGTTTCTATCTACGTGACTTTACCGAAAGGACCATAGAATATGAACTCCTGCAGTCACAAAAGTTTTAAGTCAAAAATTTATCCCCGTGGTCGGATGGATTTTTCTCCGGTGCATCTGTTTTTTTCCCTCCTCATTTAGGAACATGCGTTTAGAGTATTTGGCTACTATAAATGTTTCCAACATCAGCCACTTCGTTGAGCTATCATTCGTGGCCAGATCACTTCTGAAAAAGAGCTAAATAGCTAAGTGGGCCTTACCTGGTAAAATAAAAATAGTTGGTTAACTGCAAGTAGCTGCCCGGATCCCAGCGGTGCCAGCTCGGTGATTTGACCGGCAATTAGCAGCCTGGGCCACCGGGCCACATCCGGATTATCTTCCAAAGAAAAGGAGTTTCTACTAACATCATGGACTTTTATACACTTTTTTTTACAACTGCAAAATATTGACCATTTCAATGTCAAATTCTGCAAATGAGCTATGAATATTAAACTCGTCAAACACGAGTAGATTTGTGCCAGACAAAATAATTAAACTGGAATTCATTAAAATACTCTTTGTGAAATGTACCACTTGGCATACACAAACGCTTCCAGCTTTTAACCAACTTTCACTTTGAAAGGGCTTTATAGTCAAATTTATGAATGCATTTAATAATAAAAAAATGCATTTATAAACTGCCAATATTTTTTTCTCTCCCAACAAAAACTTCCACCAGTTCACATAGCATGTAGTAAAGGTAATACAAATCTAAAGTTCGTCTCCCGTTAGTTTTAAAGCTTCTTTTCACGTTGGAGCAACGTCATCGTGTTTTTTCGTGGCATTTTCCCTCTAATTTGTTTCCTTTTTTTCACATTTCGTTAAAGAGGGTGCCTCCCGTCTCCGTGAGCGGGCGGCTCGGCACAGAGGCACTTACCCTTTCACGTCGGCTCGGCGGAGGCCGCTTTCAAACAACCGTGTCTCCCACTACAAATGCCAGCCAGAGAAGTTTCCATGGAGCCAGCGCTGACTCAGATGCCAAGTTCGCAAGCGCTGCGTGCCACACGTGCCAACTGCCCCCGAAGCCCTGCGCTATTTCTTTCAATTAATACCATTTATTTAATTCGCTCATTTATTTTCCAATCACTTCGCTTTGTTTGTCCACTTGCAGTTGCTTTTTACGTGACCGATGCCAGTTGGGGTGGAGGAGGGGTTTATTTGCGAATGTCAGACGATTCACAGGCTTTGAATAGCGCGAGTGCCGGCGCTTAAAAGTGCGGGGCGCGCAGTTCAGCCGCTTCCTACGTCTTTGCTGTGAGTTTTGTCATTGCGAGCACATGGCTAATTGAGTGCATGAACAATTAATCAACTGTTGGTCTAAGTGATTGGGAATACGCATCCTGTGCTGTTCAGACCGGTTACGCGCTCACAACGACGCGTGTGTTTTTTGTTTAAAGGCCATGGCGGAAAGATCCTGCGAAAATAAATCTTAAACAAAGCCTTTAACCTGCTAGGTTCAGTTACCCTGTTGGGGCTCACTGCAAGTTTTAAACATCCCCTATAACAACCATTTTGCAAGGCCAATCTTTCAGTCCAGGTCACAAATGTCAGGACTATGGCCTAACACGTCATGACAGTAAACCTCAACCGTGTGCAGGTGATTAGGCAACACACGACGACAGCGACTATCGTTTTCCCCAGAGCGAATGCGTGATTGTCGTGGCAGAGAGTCAAAACAAAATTACCAATGCCGCTTTCTCATCTCACTAGCAGAGCCTCTGGGGCACCAAGGGCCGTCAAATGTTTTTGGAGGCCCGGGGCAAAATGTCAGATGAGAACCCCTTCTGCACTTTCTCAAGGCACCCTCAGATCTGAGGCTCACGGAAAAATTGGCACACCTGCACCCCCCTTTGCCTTCCCGTCCCCACTCCCCCCAAAGTCTGTCTCTACGGTCCTGACCACAGCCCACTCACGTGCCGGGTCGTGCCGCCACCGAAGCCAATGACCCTGCGCAGCGCGAGGATGGGGTCAGGCTGCAGAGGCTGGAACACAGAGCAGACACATTTCAAAAGCAAGGCTTGCCTAGTTCCCGCATGCCTGTGTATTCACTACAACTCTAGGCTGCTTCCAACACACACACTCGTACATCTGTTCACTGCAAGGCGAGGCTACTTCCCACTAATGTATTTAACACTCACAGTTTTATTGGCATGACATTTGTAAAAGTGGAATTAACAGAATTGTTTCTCTGTGATTCAGTGCCATATTCCCATTCCACGCATTTTTTGTTGACCAACGAGTCGGGAATAATGTTGAGTAACAAGCCAGGAACAAATTAAGTGTTGGGGAAGGGACTCGAACTGTGAAATTTCACGGATCTCGTTCACTTTGTATTACTCACAGAGCGCTCCTCATCGTAATACTCTGATAGCCTTTCAGGTGAGATGGTCTTGTCTCCAATCTGCAGGACGCAAAGGAAACGTCCATTGAAATAAGCAACACATATAATAAGGCAGCGCTCTCCCAGCTATATTCCTCACATACAAATGCTGAGAGCGAAAGTATAAACACGCACTGAAACGGGGCAAGCTCTTCATGCTGGAACGTTGGACACTACACGCAGCAAAACCCCAAATCCCATTTTGGAGCTACACAGCACACAACCACGATAACCTTCGCAATTGTACTAATTTACACGTGTTTTTCACGATCCATGTTGTGTTTTATCTGGGTAACCAATACCTCCCATTACCCTGCTTAATTTAGAGTTGACTGTTTATAAACTGCACTACATAATCAGTAACCTGCGCTATCGAGCTCTTTTACATTACAAGGTCTCCCGCCATACCTCTCCACCCTTTCTCACTCCAGCGACCACAGCAAACCATCGCGTCCTACGAAGTACACCCAACAAATTGCTCATCGTACCCACAACCAGGGCTGTCTTGGCTGAGTGGCGTTTCTCCGTAGCTGGACCAGCCATCTAGAATCCTCTCCCCACTGCGCATTCGCAGAATCCAAATCACCATCCACCTTCAAGCAACAGCTGCGGTCTCACCTGTTCAGGCTAGCATACGGGAACCTTTTAGCTCCGCACCTCCCGAGTTCTCAATGAAACATTTGCTTCCGATTCGCAAAATACGCGCATGCTATAAAGTGTTTATCATTATTATGATACTTTTCTGCTGACAGCACCTGGGCGAGTCGCTGGCTGTGGCGATGCACGGAAACGTCGCCGCTCCGGCTGGTGACCACATGCACGTCCCCACCACGTGAACGGAACACGCTCAGCTCCCCGGTGTCCTCCGCGGCACTCGAGCCGCCCCCGTCCTCCGCATCGTTACCGTCGCAGCGAGAGGGGGGGCTCCGCTGGGCCCCAGTCTTTCCGTTTGCCAGGCAGAAGCCGCTCTCTGGCCGATCCAGAGTGAGCTGGCTCTCAAATCTACCCATGCCGCCCGTCTCGGTAGCAAAGGTCGTCCCACTGGTGCTAAAAAGTTCTTGTTGTGAATGTGCTGCTGTTGCCGACGGGAAAGGCAGGGGTTTGGTGGGTGCGCGCTGGCCCTGTTGTCAAGGAAAAAAAAGTACAAATTAAGACAACATTTTAGGTAATAACGTAAGGCCTTCTGTCAATCCACCGCTGGATGAAGGCCTCGCCACGCCGCATCGAATTGTGAATATTGTTAGGCCACACTTCACGACCTAGTGAGTGTGGTTCGAGAAGGGGAGGTGGCAGAACCAGTTCAGACATCACTCTCTATTGACGTGAACCATGGCCTGGAGTGGAACGCAGGTTCTTCGCTTCACCGCTCCACCCAGCAATTAATTACCATTTAAATAACTGGACGCATGCTTTACTAGTTCTATATGCCAAGCGAATCAGTTTTAGTCCAGATCATGAAGCTTACTTTTCCCGTAAACTCTTGTGTACAATGAAGACTTTAAAAAAAAAACACCTCCGTGTGAACCCTATCGGTCCCCGTGGATACTTAATGCGCAGCAAATAGCTGTGAGTGTCGCCGCTGCCGCCACCTCACAAGAGACGCCAGGGACACCCGGGCACAGCGCACGCACCCAGACGCAAGTGCCCGGCTAACGGCACTCCTCCATTGAGCCGCTGAAGGGCCTGAATGACAGGTCCATTTAAAGCAGATATTGGATAATCTCCAAATTCCCAGGGACGAGCATCAAGGCGCCTGTCTGGTTCTTAAGCTCCCTGACCCCTCGGCACCGCCCACTTGCCCTCATCGTAGCGGACGCGCTCCTCCGGAGTGGGCACTTCAGCAAGAGCTCGGCGAGCGGTTTGCTAAAGAGGCCTCCTCGTGGAAACGTCGGCCTCTGTGCTCAAGGGTTGCTCCCGTGGGGCAGCTGCCCTTTTTCCGCATTCCACTTGAGCGTGAATGTCTCCACGAAACGAGCCCATTTGCATGGAGGGCTCTTACAGCTTCTGGCCCAATAATTGTCGCATGCTCGTCCGCGGGCTTTTGCGTTGACCCCTGGCCATCGTTTGAAGTTACGTAAATGTTAACAATGACGCTAGTGTGCTCACATAACAAACGGCTCACACAGCCGAATGGGCGCAAGCACTCTCTATCGGTGGATAACCTTTTGCAGGCTATTAATCATTCCCGAAGGTTGACTACGGCTCAACGCAGCAAAAGTTTAAATTCTAAAGCCACTCATCTGCATCAACGCTGCCCACTGACCGTGCGTGCGCGCCTCCTCACCGTGCCGTTCCATCAAGCAGCAATTACATCAGGCTGCAGAGTAGCCGTTACTTAGCCTCGATGTCAATCAATGCAACGATGAATACAGGTGACACATCACCAAGAACGATGATTTATTTCGCAAGGGCGATGTTGGTGACCATTTTGAGAAAAAATATTTTTACTGGCCCCTGCTCCCGGAAATGTCATATGGGCTGCAACGTTAACTTTACGTCGGACAGCGGCAAGGTATAGGGGTCAATCACTAGGCGAGGTTAGGAGAAGAAACATCGACTTAAGCGAACCGCCACTGCACAGAGAGTAAAAATCTATTTTCTCGATACTTTGAATCACTTTAACTGTCGATGTAGAATACAAATTTAAATCATTGCCAAAGAAGTGAATCTTATAAAGAATCAAATGTAAGGAAACATTACTTACAAATAACAAGGAGCCAAGTATTTGAGCATTGCGGGATGTCCTTTGAAACCAAAGATAATTTTGAAAAATTGTCGCCAGATTCAAACCGACTCAGGGTTAAATTTACTCAAGCCAACGACTGATGGTTCACATGACAGTGTGTGGTTAGTTTCTCTATCAAACACTTTTGACAGGTGAACAAAAACAGGTGAACAAGAGTTGCCCCTACGAAACACAACAGCTCACAAACAAAGCGCTTCACCTGGGGTGGGGACGTGAGCTGCTGGACGAGAGAGACTCTGTCTCTAACAGCACGGCTCACGCTCACCGGGCGTGGGAAGCCAGCAGACGTCTCGCTCTCCTCCCCTGCTGACGCACACAGACGGCGCCGTCAATTCCGCTCCACTGCATTGCCATGGCATGTTACGCACACGCTCGCTACAGTCATCCCTTCCAATAGCTTTGAGGCGTCCCGTGCCACCTCAAACATATTTTAGATTTACTTCATCCACATTTCTGATGCAGGGTGAATTCCAATAATAAACGTACAGTCCCGCATTACGGGTTGCAGGCTTCCTTATTTAGAGCTTGTTGTTGGGATTTTATAGGGTTGGATAATTTTTGTTCTTAAAATGAACACACGAGGAGTGGGAAAAGCCAAGGGGGCCGTTGGCGGCTAACACACGGGAGGGATGGGAGGTGCGCCTGTTGGCTGGGGAGGTGCAGCCTCAAATCTTAGCCACACTCATTGTGAAGGCTGTGAACTCGACTGGCGTCCGTTCACCAGGAGTTAGTGAACCTCTCTTCACAAGGTCAAAAAACCGTGGCCATTTTGTTTGCGTCGGGACCTTGAACTCAATTCTAGATTTAAAGCTTTCGTGACTGCTAGGATCCATACTCTTTGGTTCTATTGGGTAAAGTCACGTAGGTGAAAATAAAATAACAAAAAATCACGACGTTTCGGCCAACTCAGTGGTGTATTGCTCTCTAGCCGGCAGCCAGTATTTTAGAGGAAAAATAAAACCTATTTATTTTAACATAAATTACTGTAAACTGTGTTGTAGATCCTTCAGGGAAATTACTTTTTGAGTTGCATCTTCCCGTAGGGCATTCAATCGCAGATACCTTTTGTTTCGGAAGAGGTTTTCTCTTTGTCTTGAAGACTCAAATCTGGAAATCTAAACGTAGATGAACAAAAGGTGAGACCACTGGATAGAATTAAACAAAAATAATTCCCTGCCTTCATACAAATCGCTGATCATTTTTTTTCCTCCGCGTCATTCTGAAAAAGAGCTGTATCGCTCAGTGGGCCTTACCTGGTAAAATAAAAGTTTAGTTTAGCTTAGCTTACACTTTTAGTTTAGTTTGCACCAACGTGGCGAGTAGCCTTAAACAGTTGATGCTGTGCAACAAGATGAATTTTGCTAGTAGAAAGAAAATGATTGTAAAATTGTGGTTAAAAATCAATGGAAAGATAATAAAGAAGCAAGCAGTTTCGCTACTGCATTCACGAGGATTCGAATGTGCAAATGAATCTGAGGTGGAACAATGACGCCAGCGGTTCATACCACACCGCGAAATCGGCAACCTGAGTTCCAATTCTCGGCCATAGGTAACGTCAGTGCCGAGTTATATCCGACAAAGCGTGATAAGGCCATCATCCAGCGGTGGATTGTCAAAAGTGATTAAATCAATCGCAACTGTATTAAACAAGGCAGCTCCAATAAGCTGCATACAATACAATTTGGATATTTAAAGGATCTAAATACGACCACATCCCAAGATCCTGCGTAGAAACAGTGGGCATATTAATTTTATAGTGAGAGGTAGTCAGCCATAGGCAAATGAAAAGAGTAAGGTCTTGAGCCTGGACTTGAACAGGGGCAGGGAGTAGACAGCACAGATGGCTGGGGGATGAAAAGAGTTCCAGACAATGCGGGCAGTACAAAAGAATGAGCGAACTGAGCTGGTTGGGGTCTTCGGCAAATTAAGTGTTTGAGGGGTCTGATTTCTGAAACCCTGGGCAACCCTGGGCATAAGGACTGCACCCAAACCAGCGAGGGCGCACCGGATGAAGTCGTACACGTCGTGCCAGCTGGCACCCTTGGGCAGGTAGAACGCCATTTCACGCGGCATGGCACCTAAGCCCTGGGGCAGCTGCCCACTTCGCCCGCATGCCACCACCGGTGCTCCTGCGCAGCACAAAAATAAAGGCAAGTTAATAATTGTATTATTAAACATTAACCGGACGTTGAGTTAAGCTGGCACAGACGGAACGGAAAGCAGTGTTCACAGAGAATGAGCGAAGAGCTTCGAAAGAAAGCCTTGGTTGCTGAAGCAGAGTGCACGTAGAGGGAGGAGTGAAGCGAGCTGAAAGGGGGGAGGGGTAGGCAGGGGCGAGAGAGTTAGAGGAGGATCCTGAAGATGCTGATCGCGATCTTAAAATTGGGATTGGACTGGCAGCCAGTGGAGGGTAGGATCAGAGCAACTGAGGTGATGTGGTCCCGTTAACAATGACAGGGTAACCCCGCTGTCGGCAAAACGCTCGGGAAAACCTCCAAGTGGGACTCGCCGGGGGAAGCGCGGGCCGTGCGAGTCCGTGGCAGACGGGCACCTGGCTGGTAGAGCGTGTCGCTGGTGAAGAGGTTGCGCACGAGCATGCTGCAGCACAGCCTCACAGCCTTCAGGTGTGAGTAACGGCGGTTCAGGTAGATGGACAGGACGTAGTGCAGGTCCAGCACCAGGCACGTCCAGCGAGCGTCCATCGGTACTGGAGCACATTTACCTGCAGAGGACACACGGCTCTCTCAGCATTTACCATGAGCAACTATGGCCACTTGGAGCACCAATTACATAGTGATGGAGTTCTGCCTATAAAACAGCAAATGTTAGAGCTCTATTTCATCATCATCATCATGATCCATAGCGCGTAGGTGTCCACTGCAGGTGTCCATTTCGTAATGTTTCAACTTTCCTCTGCCTTGTGCCAATATGCTCAAGTAGTTGCCACATCTTTCTAGCACCAATCTCTTCTGTAACCATGACAATTCCCAGAGTTGCAAAGGCAGTGCTTTGTTACAAGCTTATTCACTATAACAATGGCTTTCTTTCATCATATTAAAACAAAATGTTTATCTCATTACCGTTAAGATTTTGTGATCAGATGAATATAAACGTCTGGAGTGGTAACCGCAACTGGATGAAGCAACACTGCCAATACTTCGCTTGCCTCGGGTGGTGCTGTGCTCGCTGGGTTCGTGAAGGAGGCCCCTGGCCGGGCCGCAGACAAACGGGAACTGCAGCCACGTGGCTGTCACCTTGAACTCCCTGAAGAGGCTCGAGAAGGAAATGCGAACCACCTGATTTTCCTGTGACAAGACGGGAGCCGCACAAATCAAAACTTAAAATCGTCCGGCGTAATATCCACAACCAACAAGCCAGTGAGTTGGTTGTGAATATTGTGTTTAGTTTGTCCTTCCCCCCGCACCTCCGATAACTATGGTTGGCTATGTATGGTGCGAAAAAAGTTCAAGATACACACATGCGTTATTTTTCCAAATTGTAAATTTCAGGGAATTGTGTAACGTGCTGGCTATCATGTCAGCCCTTTTGGCCTGGTGGCCATTGATGAAGAGCATCTTAGCTTCATGGCCCTTACCCAGAATAAACCGACCAACACAGCGGCGTCGTTAACATAACTTTAAGTTTTTCTGTTGATGTTTTGTTGTTTTAAATCATATAGTCACAAAAGCTATCGGGCCACTTGTTTGCCAGGGTCAACCAAAAGACATAGCTTTTCAGTATCACCGATTAAAGGCAAATTCATTTCGGCAACCCGCCAATTGATTTCTGCTCAGCGGTCCCAGTCGGAATCAAATGGGCCTTCTGTGGTTGGGGACGGTTACCTCCGTGCTGACGTCCAGGTGAACAATGAAGTGTTTCGTGGGGATGGGCTTGAACAGCAGGTAGAGGTAGCGTCCCGTGAGCCCCAGCGACTGCGTGCTTGTCTTCGGCAGCTGAATGTAGTTCGCCGCCGGAATGTGGCCCACGACCTTGTAGACCGTCGCCTTGATCGTCTTGTCCTGCGCGTTCGCGGGCGGGCGGGCGTACGAGGCCAATCTGTCAGGCCACTTCTGGGCGATGGTGCTCATGGATGAACCCTCTCTAAATAACATAATGCCCCGTACTGTATCACTGCAACCATGTCACGCTGAATGCGACCGATCTCATTGGACTTAGAAAATAAGCAGGATTCAGCTTGGTGAGTACTGTGCTTGGATGGGAAGAATACAAGTTTGTTGGAGGCTTCCGCTGGGAGATGGCAGCAGAGGTGTGGATTCGAAAATCTATTTGTGTGCAGCTTTGAGTGTCAAACTCATGTATGTGCGGGTTTTCTCTGGCCACTCTGGTTGCCTCCCACTCATTAATTGAATTGACAAAATCTTGAAATGCACGACACTCAAGAAAAAAAAGTCTTGAGCCTCAGTGAGGCTTTCCTGGGTAAAGGATATTATTATGAAACCATCATGCGAACTCCGGTCATCCTCACAGCGGCTTTTGGCGAGCCATCGAACAAAGACGGTCACTGCATTGTGCGCATTCAGATGCACTTCTGCGGCCGTCTGGAATGCTCTTCCTGCCGATGTTAGGAAGCCACAAGAGCAATGCGCTTTTAAATCATTTAGATTGAAATATATTTTTTTAGAACTGCTTTTTGGATTTAGTTTGTTGTCCTTCTCCCGCACCTCCGATTAGCATAGTTGGCCACTTACGGTGTGAAAGAAGTTCAACATACATACAATTATTATATATGCATTTTTTTTTAAACACTACTTACCGCCTTTTTCAGACCTACCATTGTCATGGCTTTTCAAGTCCACTGCAGCATTTTTCGCTTGTAAAGATGTACAACGATGAATGCTGCGTCATTTCTTACCAAGGAAGTTATCGGTCATCCACTTAGAATGCCAACTGATTTATGGCCAGAGGAAAGAGTTTAACATTTTCTTATGTCTGAGATCAATTCGGGAATGAGCGTCGTCATTCACTTTAACCCATGGATGGTTTTTAGGCGTGAGTGGGCGTCTGTGTGAGGAAGCGCACAGAGCGGTGGTGCAGATTATTATGTTAGCTGGGGGCACGCGTGCTCCTGAGCAGTCGTTTTAGTTCTGTTGAGACTCCTGTTGGGAATGCGCAGCCTACGTGTACCTCAGCAGGTTCCAGTTATGAAAACGGATGTTTCGTTTTGAAGAATTACTGACAAACTGCCTGTTGAAAGCAATATTTGTTCTTATCCTACCGCTTAATCTCCACTCATACGTAGTTTTTCTAAACGGGCACCATATGAATCGAAAATTATTTTCATATATTATTGTAAGTTCAAAACCAGATAGCTGCAATTTTAGTCACAAGGCACAATTTACCATGGCGGAGGTGACCTCCCCTTCTTTTGACGCTTTTTTCCATTCGTCCACTTTGCAGTGCTTAAACACGTTGACATACGGGTGCTGCCATACTGCATGCACACACAGGCAGACAGCAATCAGGATAACCTAGTCACGTGTCGTGCAGGTCAAGGGGTCATCATGGCCAATGATGCCGATTCAACCTTACTATTGTTTCCATCCTAACCCACCCTCTAGCTTTCAGTCTGTTGGACGCCAACCTCTGGATTTTCATTCAATTCGTGATGACGACGATAATCATGATGATAATCAATCAACTGCTGGATTAAAGCCTCCCCACAGGCCACCGCTATCTCCCATGGTTCCGTGTTGCAACATTCCAGCTGTCTCTGCGCCATATCCTCCGGTTTGTGCGAACAACTAAAAACACTTATTGATAAACCATTTCAGGTCTTAATTGATTGTTCACGCTTACAGTGGCTTTCAGACAGCATACATTATAAAAAATTTCGTCTCCCCCCTCCTCTTTTCAGAATATAGATGACTAGTCCTAAATAAACTGGCAAATCGTTGCGCGTGGCGCTAACGTTTTTTATAAATAAATAAATGCGCCGTTTAAAAATAAATTTATGCGAACCAACACACCTGAAGACGACCGTTTGAGTTATGGTCGAAACGTCGTGAGAATTTTTTATTGTTTTATATATATTTTATTATTTTGTTGTTTCTCTTCAACGTGACTTTACCGAAAAAACTAAGAATACAACTAAAAACACATTCGCACCGCACGCACATAGCTGCTCAGTGTGCTTCCCAGTGTGTGTGCCGGCACGGGAAGTGCCTTCCAAAGAGACATTAATGCAGATGCCGTCCGGGGGTGGAGGCGTCCACACGGGAGAAATTGGTGAGGACATGACGCGCCCGGGAATTTCGATTGCCCATGTCTAGATACATTTCATGGGTTGCTCCCACACAGGTGGAACACTGGGACGGAAGCTTCCGATTCGATCGCGGACAGACGTCACGTGGCCATCCCAAGCGTTGCCACTTTGGGAGAACACCGGTGATGAATCACACTTTAAGACTCTTTACTTTAATTGCCACGACCGTACCCAGTTGCCAAAGGCGTTCAGTGAATGCATCGGGTGTGACGGACTCTCCCAATGCAAAGTTCCACATTGACTGGGTCCACTTTAGCTTATAGCTTTCTCACGCGGTCAAGAGAATTAGGGGCCGTCCATAAATGACGTCACGCGATTTTGGACGATTTTTGACGCCCCCCCCCCCCTTCGTCACACGGCGTCACAAAAAGTCAGACCCCCCCCTCGAATATGACGTCACAAAGCTCTGCCCCCCCCCCAAAAAAATAAAACATGCTTCAAATCGCTTAAAACTATTGTCATTGTAGTGCGTATTTAATGTGGCGCTGCACTCTGATGTTGTAGGATAAAACATTTATTAAAAAGTATATTTAATTAAGTAGAACGTGTTGACATTTCTCAAACCCCCCCCCCCCTCGTCACACATCGTCACAAATGTCTGACCACCCCTCCTCCCTAGGTGCGTGACGTCATTTATGGACGGCCCCTTATTCATTGGAGGTGTAACAATGATTTACACCGTTAAGGGCATTGAGGATTTAGGTTGCTTGTATGTTGACGCCGATTGACGTGTTATTTAAGCGAGAAGAACCCGACAAGCTATAAAGCTCTTTTTCACAGATGTCCAGCCCAAGCTGGTAGGGGCAATTGTGGAAAGTTAGAGGATTTTTTTTTATTTGCAGTTTATTTCTGAGTACCCTGTGAGCTAAGATGCTCTTAAGTCGGGTTTCATGAATTAAAAAAACCAAGAGTGATACGTAAATTCGATTACACTGGTAGGAACGAAGTTGTAAACTGAGTGTACCAGTCTGCAATAGATTAATGTGTCCGTCCGTCCGTCCCCTTGCAATACTTTAACGAAGTGAAATCTCGTGCTGTTGGGTGTAAAATCAGCAATAGACAGCGCAGAGACTTGTCCTACCAGCCCACCCTGCAGGGACCTGTTATATAAACCCAATCGCACATAAACTCATGTCACACGTAAATTGTAACAAAACGACGTGCAGTCTGGTGGTGTACTGCACGTGCAGTCTGGTGGTGTACTGCACGTGTAGTCTGGTGGTGTACTGCACGTGCAGTGTAGTGGTGTACTGCACGTGCAGTCTGGTGGTGTACTGCACGTGTAGTGTAGTGGTGTACTGCACGTGTAGTCTGGTGGTGTACTGCACGTGCAGTCTGGTGGTGTACTGCACGTGCAGTCTGGTGGTGTACTGCACGTGTAGTCTGGTGGTGTACTGCACGTGTAGTCTGGTGGTGTACTGCACGTGCAGTGTAGTGGTGTACTGCACGTGTAGTCTGGTGGTGTACTGCACGTGTAGTGTAGTGGTGTACTGCACGTGTAGTGTAGTGGTGTACTGCACGTGTAGTCTGGTGGTGTACTGCACGTGTAGTCTAGTGGTGTACTGCACGTGCAGTCTGGTGGTGTACTGCACATGCAGTCTGGTGGTGTACTGCACGTGTAGTCTGGTGGTGTACTGCACGTGTAGTCTGGTGGTGTACTGCACGTGCAGTGTAGTGGTGTACTGCACGTGTAGTGTAGTGGTGTACTGCACGTGTAGTGGTGTACTGCACGTGTAGTGTAGTGGTGTACTGCACGTGTAGTGTAGTGGTGTACTGCACGTGTAGTCTGGTGGTGTACTGCACGCGTAGTGTAGTGGTGTACTGCACGTGTAGTGTAGTGGTGTACTGCACGTGCAGTCTGGTGGTGTACTGCACGTGTAGTGTAGTGGTGTACTGCACGTGCAGTCTAGTGGTGTACTGCACGTGCAGTCTGGTGGTGTACTGCACATGTAGTCTGGTGGTGTACTGCACGTGTAGTCTGGTGGTGTACTGCACGTGTAGTGTAGTGGTGTACTGCACGTGTAGTCTGGTGGTGTACTGCACGTGCAGTCTGGTGGTGTACTGCACGTGCAGTCTGGTGGTGTACTGCACGTGCAGTCTGGTGGTGTACTGCACGTGTAGTCTGGTGGTGTACTGCACGTGCAGTCTGGTGGTGTACTGCACGTGTAGTGTAGTGGTGTACTGCACGTGTAGTCTGGTGGTGTACTGCACGTGTAGTGTAGTGGTGTACTGCACGTGTAGTGTAGTGGTGTACTGCACGTGTAGTGTAGTGGTGTACTGCACGTGTAGTCTGGTGGTGCACTGCACGTGCAGTCTGGTGGTGTACTGCACGTGTAGTCTGGTGGTGTACTGCACGTGTAGTCTGGTGGTGTACTGCACGTGCAGTCTAGTGGTGTACTGCACGTGTAGTCTGGTGGTGTACTGCACGTGTAGTGTAGTGGTGTACTGCACGTGCAGTCTGGTGGTGTACTGCACGTGCAGTCTGGTGGTGTACTGCACGTGTAGTGTAGTGGTGTACTGCACGTGCAGTCTAGTGGTGTACTGCACGTGCAGTCTAGTGGTGTACTGCACGTGTAGTGTAGTGGTGTACTGCACGTGCAGTCTGGTGGTGTACTGTACGTGCAGTCTGGTGGTGTACTGTACGTGCAGTCTGGTGGTGTACTGCACGTGCAGTCTGGTGGTGTACTGCACGTGCAGTCTGGTGGTGTACTGCACGTGCAGTCTAGTGGTGTACTGCACGTGCAGTGTAGTGGTGTACTGCACGTGTACTCCGTTAGTAATGAATGAACCGTCCAGGTCTCAACTCATAACAACCGCATGCCAGTAGCAGTCTCGAGTACTCACGGTACGCCATAGCCAGGCGGTAGCTCAGGGCTCGCCTGCCCCTCGTCTATCGCTCTCTAGATGAGGTGGTTACAGCTCTAGATGAGGTGGTCACAGCTCTAGATGAGGTGGTTACAACTCTAGATGAGGTGATTACGACTCTAGATGAGGTGATTACAACTCTAGATGAGGTGATTACAACTCTAGATGAGGTGATTACAACTCTAGATGAGGTGATTACGACTCTAGATGAGGTGGTTACAGCTCTAGATGAGGTGGTTACAACTCTAGATGAGGTGGTTACAACTCTAGATGAGGTGATTACGACTCTAGATGAGGTGGTTACAACTCTAGATGAGGTGGTTACAACTCTAGATGAGGTGATTACAACTCGAGATGAGGTGATTACGACTCTAGATGAGGTGGTTACAACTCTAGATGAGGTGGTTAGAAATGTGGATGAGGTGATTACAACTCCAGACGAGGTGGTTAAAGTTCTAGACGAGGTGGCAAGAGCTGTGGATGAGGTGATTACAACTCCAGATTATGTTATTACAGCTGGAGATGAGGTGGTGAGAGCTGTGGTTATTACAACTCTAGACGAGGTGGACAGAGCTCTAGATGAGGTGATTACAGCTCCTGACGAGGTGGTTGGGAGCTCTTAACGAGGCCAACGCGATCTCTATGGAGCCGTTGCACGCGCACAGCTGACGAGCGCCGCCGCTTCTCTTTACATTCCCCACTCTGGATGCGCGCCTCCACCGCCGCGGGACCAATGGCAGGGCCCGAACGGTCGACTCGCCAACCAATACGGAAGGCGCGCGCACGAATCCGGCGCGCGAGCGCGTCGGCCAATCGCCAGGCGGGGATTGGCGCCCGCCGCTCCTAAGCGAGCTAGGGAATTTGACGGCGGGAGATTCCCCGCGCTTCGCCGGGGTGGAGGTAGGGGGTGGGGGAGTGGGGGCGGGGGTTAGGGGGTTCTTGGGTTTCAACCCCCGCCCCCCCCCCAGAATAAAGTAAACACTACTACGATAATAGGGTTTCTTCTTATTTCTGGCAACAAAACAGCTGTATTAAGATGTTAAAACTCCAAACTGAAACCTTTTACAAGGAACCATGTCTGCATTAACCACAATGCTTGTGGTCAGAATGCAAACAAAAACCATACTCTGATAATATATGTGGCATTGTCCTTGAAACTGATTGGTCCACACCAGAGACGGCTTTCTTTTGAGCCTCGTCTCAAACGGTGTTAGACCAGAGGACGCCAAAAGGCGTAAAATTTATATTCATTGAGAATTTCGGCAAAGTAACGTAGACAGATCTTGACTTAAAGCTTTCGTGACTGCAGGAATTCGAACGCTATCGGTAAAATTTTGATTTAAAGCTTTCATGACTGCAGTAATTCATATTCTTAGTTCTTTCGGTAAAGTCACGTTGAAGGGAAACAATAAAATAATAAAATATATATAACAATAAATTTATGCAAACCGACACACCTGATGACGACCGTTTGTGTTATGGTCGAAACGAAGCTATCGGTAAATCAACGTAGATAGAAAAATAAATAAAAAAAATCACGACGTTTCGATCGTAACACAAGCAATCGTCTTCAGTTGAGAACATTTAGCAAGAGAGCTGCTGAAGCAGGGTGTTATATAGGCCTGAGATGGGCGCAGCCCAAGGGTAAGTGGGCGGGGTTAGAGTCGGAAGATCGAGGGCACCCCAAAGCTGTTGGCCTGGCCATTGTATCGTGAGAAAAAAGCAGCGTGTCAATGTAGCCACCGCCACATCGAGGAATGCAACTCAGAGAGTCGGAAATAACTGCTGACATCGGCAGGTATGATGGAAACATCACAGCCAGTTATGACTGGTTAATAGCGTCCTTCCAATGATTGCCCAGTTTGTAACCATATTATCGGTTTAAATTTTGTCTGTGTTTATATATCTGGGTGGCTTCATGAACGAATCTTTATTGATAGCCAGTAGGTTTGCAGAGTACCTTCGTCTTGGAGAAATCAATTTCGTGTGTGCCCACAGCGTTAGAACAATGATCAGCTACGGCCGTCATCACGTACACCCCGTAGATGGGTGTAGTACCAGCCCTAGCGGGGCTTGGTGAGCGATGGAATAGCGCGGGCACCACGCAGAGCGCATAGTGCGGGCTCCCACAAGGGGGAGTGGGAGAGTGTCAGCCCAGGGACAGGGTTTCCCCGGGCCATGGCACTCTGGTTGACCCTGTAGACACGTGATCTGGAGTGTCCCCAGAGAAGGCCCCAGGTGGGGGGGGGCTAGGGGGTGATCACGTGTCCAGGGAGAGCTCTCAAGAGGGATCGAGAGGAAGCTAGAACGCTCACGAAGGTGGGCAGGGCCGAGGCCGGAGCCGGTCCCAACCCGGGAGGTATGAGGTGAGTCTCTGAAAGGGACCGGGGTCGCTTCGTTCTACAAGCTGGAAGCTCAACGTCCTACGTCTGAAGAGGCATCAACACGTGGCCGAGGACCCGAGTGAGGGTCCGACCCTTCGTAGCTGTAACTCCTCTGTATAGTGTAGTTAGCTAGGTGGTCACCACCCCAGGCTGTATCTGGTAAAGCGGCAGTTACCCCGTTGTATATACGTGTTATAATAAATGTGTTGCCTCTAAAGAATAACGTCTGCGACTCAGTGGGACTCACTACAGCTGGGTGTCGGAAGTGGCCAACACGCTAGTTTATAGAGCTAGCGGTAGACTATGTCTACCGCTAGCTCTATAAACAGACCACATACCAGGACGTCGGATAGCGAGGAAGAGGACTTCGTGCCACCTACAGCTCCGGAGGATGCGGGGGAGACACTGCCAGCGGAGCAGAGCGCCATCCGGGTGCGCGACGCTTCGCCGTCAGTGGAGGCGACCCTCCAGGAGGCGCACGGTCGCCTCGCGGAGCTCCTCCATGCTGCAGCTTAGCCTCTCGCGGAGATCAGTCTCACGGTCGCGCCGGTGAAGGAGGGAATGGCGATGCCGATGTGGCAACAGGCGGGACGGGCGGTGGTCCGGTCGCACGGGATGCGGTCATCGGCCTGGATTACGAGGAATGGGGACACCTTCAGACGCTTTGCTGCTCAAATTGCGGCGTCGCGTGAGGGAAGCTGATGGGGGCACGGATCGACGCGACGTCGCCTCGGTCGTTCTGCGGGGTGGCTTACTCATGCATTGGGACGGGGGGCTGCACCGTTATACCAATGTTGTCCCCACTGCCCTGCGAGGCGAGGTTGTTTGGGCTGTGCATAACCATCTCTTGCACCCGGGCGTGCAGAAGATGCTGGCCATGCTCAAACTGGATTTCTATTGACCGGCCATGTCTGCGGATGTGGACAATTTGCTCAAAGGGTGCGTGCAGTGTGCTCGGCGGAAGCCGCCAGCGAAACCCTGCCGCCCCCCCCCTTGCAATCGGTTCAGGTATCGCGCGTCAATGAACTTGTTGCTCTGGACATCCTTGGTTCGTTCCCCACCACCGCTCGAGGGAACAATTACCTGCTTGTGGGGGTCAAGTCATTTTCACGATGGCCTGTCGCCTGGCCGCTCCCTAATCAATCGGCTGTGACTATTACGGAGGCATTCCTCAATGGTTATGTTATGGACAAGGGCGCTCCTAAACGCCTTTTGACCGATCAGGCAAGAATTTATCTTCTAAATTGTTGCATGAGGTCTGCTCTTTGTTGGGAACAAAGAAGGTGCGCACGTCGCCGTGCCTCCCGCAGATGGATGGCGTGGTCGAACGGCTACATAGGACTCTAACCTCCATGTTGAGCCACCAGGTCAGTGAGTCACAACTCGATTGGGACTTAAATATCCCTACAGTCCTCGCCGCTTACAGGATGGCCCCACGCGCGTCCACCGGCTGCTCACCGTTTTTTTTAATGTATTGATGTGCGGTTACAGGCCACGCCGAAAATGTATAAATCCAAGATTTCTGACTCCGTTCGTTTCACTCTTCTGAAGCTTTCCGAGGCACGGGAAGCTTCCAGGGTTAATTCCGAGTCGTTACAATTGGCCAACGAATGGCTAAAGGGAGTGCGTGCTTCTCTGTATGAATGGACACCTGGGGACAAGGCCTGGTTGCGCTGTCCGCAGGTGCCAGTGGGTACATCGCCTAAGTTACTCCAGCCCTGGCGGGGGCCGGTCGATGTTGTTCAGGTTGTTCGACCACAGTAGTGTGTCCAGATCAACCTGGGTTGGCAGAGTTGGTTCATGCATCCCTCTCGCCTGAAACCGTTTATCGCGGCACGTGAATTCGTTTCATCTCCATATCGCAGGGGCCGAGCGTCGAATGTGTCCGACGAGCCGGGGTGTGTGCCCGCTGAGGTTGGTCCTCAGCGGAGCGATTCTGTTCCGCCCCCAGGTGCCACGCGACTGACGTCTCCTGAACGGCCACGCATGCGGGCTTCGTAGGCTTCGAGCGTGGAGGACCCGTCGACCCGACATACTGCTCTCTGTGAGGAGCCGGGTTCGGTGGAACATTTGCACATTCCCCCCGGGACCTCCAAGTTGAGCGAGCCCACCTCCTCTGGGGGCCCGGCATCACGGACTCACTCAAGACTCGTTTTTCGTGATCCCCTTACACACGCTCCCACGCTGTCAGTTGCTTGTCGCGTTCGTTGAGTCGTGGCAGTTATTGGCTGATCCTTGCCGCCATTGAGCTCACGAGCGTCGTTACACGGTGAACGTGGGAGGTGTGGTGGTGGAGGGGATCCCGTGGGTTTCCACGTTTTCCTTGTTGTGTGCTTTTTTTGGGTTTGTTAGTTTATACCCTTCTCCATACGGGTTTTGTACATTTGTGGATAGTGTTAATTTTATACAGGTGGGTTAGGGTATTTATTGCTGTTCTTGTTATAGTTGAGGCACACTGTGTTTTTTTTTTGCATTTCCTAATTTGTTTGTTTGGAGGGGGAGTTGACAGCCTGGACGGCTGAATGCTACGAAGGGGGGCATGATGTAGTGACATCGGGGATGTCACTGTATGGTGCTGCCCCGGGAGGGCCGTGGCGTGCGATGTCCCTACATCACGGACAGCACCGTGTGGGCTGCTGTGTGAGGCCGGCTCTAGCACAGCACGGCGTGCAATGCACCGTCATCGCGTACACCCCGTAGGTGGGGGTGGTACCAGCCCTAGCGGGGCTTGGTGAGCGATGGAAAAGCGCGGGCACCACGCATAGCGTCTAGTGCGGGCTCCCACAAGGGGGAGTGGGAAAGTGTCAGCACATGGGCAGGGTTGACCCCGTAGACACGTGATCCAGAGTGTCCACAGAGAGGGCCCCAGTTGGGGAGGTGAGAGGGTGATCACGTGTCCAGGGAGAGCTCTCGAGAGGGATCGAGAGGGAGCTAGAATGCTCGCAACGGTGGGCAGGGCCGAGGGTGGAGCCGGCCCCGACCCCGGAGGATATAAGGTGGGTTACGGAGAGGGACTGGGTTCGCTTCGTTCTACAAGCTGGAAGCTCTAAGTCCTATGTCTGAAGAGGTATCAATACGTGGATGGGGACCCGAGTAAGGGTCCGACCCTTCGTAGCTGTAGCCAGGGCTGGAAATGGAGAGGCATTACTGGGTGAACTCATTATTCCCCCATCCTTGCTAGATCTGGACCGTACACTAGATCTGAGGAGGAGGAGGGGGATGTGGAGCGTCGCTCCGTGTGTGGATATCTGTACTCTGCTGTGGATCTCTGAGCGTGTCTGTGGGTATCTATGGGGGTATCTGTGGGGTTAGGTGTGTCTCTCTGGGTCTC